GCAGCAAATAAACATATGAAAAAATGTTCACCATCACTGGTCATTCGAGAGATGCAGATGAAAACAACACTGAGATTTCACCTCACCTCAGAAAGAATGACTGCTATCAAAAAATCAACCAATAACAAATGCTGGCAGGGGTGTGGAGAGAAAGGAACCCTTCTCCATTGTTGCTGGGAGTGCAGACTGGTGCAACCACTGTGGAAATCAGTGTGGAGATACCTCAAAGAACTAGGGCTGGAGGTCCCATTTGACCCAGCTATTTCCCTGCTGGGTATCTTCCCAAAAGAGTTAAAAGAATCATACCACAGAGATATATGTGTACTCATGTTTATTGCCTCACAGTTTGTAATAGCTAAAGCTTGGAAACAGCCCAAGTGCCCATCAACTGGAAACTGGATAAAGGAGATGTGGTATTTTTATAAAATGGAGTACTTACTCAGCCATAAAGAACGAGAAATGAGAGTCATTTATAGCTAAATGGATGCATATTGGGGCCACACTCTTAAGTGAAATAAATAGGACACGTAGAAATACCGAATAGTTTCTCTAGTGTGAGAAACTGAGAGTGTAAATAAGGATTAAAAGGATTAATAACTAATAATTGATACTTTGAAATAGGAAAAGGTCCAAAGGGGTAGGGGTGGTGGGAGGAGATGGGGGAAGGAAAGAATGGGAAGGAAAAATTATGAGAAAAGAAAAAAAAATGGAAACGAAGTCTATGTAAATAGGGAAGGGTGGAGGCGGTGAAGGGCCGACAGGTAATGGGGAAAAAATAAGAACCAAGATACATCAGGTACAGGTACAAGCACCCAATGATAAATGTAAACATATTGTATACCTAAAATGTACCAATAAAAGAATTTAAGTAAAAAAACAAAAAAAGATAATATAATGGAAGAAAGAATGATTTTTTTCAACAAGTGGTGGTGGGAAAACTGGATATCCATATGCAAAAGAATGAAATTAGACTCCTACTTCAAACATATTTTTAAAATTACCTCATTGCTTGGGAAGGGTGGAGCAGGGGAAGGGAGGGCAGGGAAATAGAGAAAAAATAAGAGCTAAGATACATCATGTAAAGGTACAAGATCCCAACGATGAACGTAACTGTATTTTATACCTAAAATGTACCAATAAACTTAATGAAAAAAATTACCTCAAAATAGCTAAACTATAGAACTTTTAGAAGAAAAACCGGAGTAAATATTTGTGACCTTGGCTTAGGTAACAATTCCTTAGATACACTACCAAAAGGAAAAGTGATAAAAGAAAGAATAGGTAAGTTGGAATTCATTAAAATTAAAAACGCGTGTACTGCAAATGATGCCATCAAAAAACTGAAAAGATAACCTGCAGAATGGGAGAAAAATATTTAAATTACATGTATGAAAAGGAACTAGTGACTAGAATATAAAAATAATGATTATAACTCAATAGCAACAGGGTAAATGACCCAATTTAAGATGGGCAAAGGCTTCAGATAAATTTTTCTCCACAAAAACGGTTACTGAATGATACACAAGTAGTCTTTAAGCACTGAAAAGATGATCAACATCATTGTCATCACGGAAATGCAAATCAAAAGCACAATGAGATATCACTGCAAAGCCTCTAGGATAGTTCAATATAGAGATGAACAATAACAACGATAAGTTTTGGTGAGGATGTGGAAGAGCTGGAAGCATCATTCACTGCTGGTAGGAACATAGTAGTATGGTGCTTTGCAAGAACAGTTCTTAAAAACATTACATGCAGAATTACCATTTGATCTCACATTTCCATTCCTCGGTATACAACCAAGTGCAATGAAAACATATATCCACCCCAAAACTTGTACATGAATATTTATAGCAGGATTATTAATAATAGTCAAAAAGAAGAAACAACTTAAACATCTGCCAACCAATGAATAGGTGGATAAAATATGGTATAGCAACAAAATATTATTTATCATTAAAAAGGAATGACATAGGGCCAGGGATTTAGCTCAGTGGTTCTGCCACCTGCCTCGCAAGCACAAGGAACTGAGTTCAATCCCCAGTACCAAAAAAAAAAAGGAATGACATATTAACACAATGCTGAAAATGAACATGTTAACACATGGATGGACCCTGAAAACATAATGCAAAGTGAAAGAAACCAGTCACAATGGACAACATAGTCCATGATTCCATTTATATGTAATGCCCAGAAAAGGGAAATCTATAGATTCGGATGGTAGAGTAATAGTTTCCTAGGACTAAACATGGGATACAACTGTGATGAGAAGTGTTCTGAAATTTCTTTTTGTACTGATGAGAAATGTTCTGAAATTATATTGTGGTGATAGTTACTGTGACTATACTAAAAACCATTGAACTCTATAATTTAAATGGGTGAGTGGAATGTATGAGTGGTGATAAATATATCTCAATAAATCTCTAAAAAATGGAAGGATTGGGCAACAAAATAAATAGAGCACTGAGTGCTATGCTGGGGAAGAGTAGTGTATCAGTACTACTGACTATTTGGGGATCCAACGGAGCCAAGACATGAAGGATCAAGAGTCTAATGACTAATACTCTAAGCAGAGCAGTCAATAAATGGAAAGCCCTGATGCTGGGAAAAACATGGACAATCCAAAGAAACAGTGCATGAGGCATAGTGGGAGCTGAGGCAGGAATAAGGTGTGGTTAGATGTGTGGACAGGGGCCAGAGAATGCAGGTTCTTGGGGCCCATTTTAATGTTTCTAGACTTGTCCTGTAAAGCAATGGGAAGTGATTGAATGGTTTTAACCCAGGGAAAGCACTGGATGCACCTAAATTTTTAAACACTTACTCTGTTTGCAGGTAATTGATTTGAGGGATACAAAGAGATGCAAAAAATTAGATTGGGAATCAGTATGAAAGTCAGGAATAAAGATGATGCCCTAAGAAATCTAAACTGAAGGAGTTTGAAGGGAGAGTGGAGGTGAGAATGTGGAGACAATGAGCTGTTTTATAAAGTTTGGCTGTAATAGAGGAGAGAGATGCAGCTATAGCTGGAAGGGAATATGAGATAGAAGAAATCTGAGATAGACATGCTTGAATGGGAATTGGAAAGCTCTAAAGAGAGACAGGCTTAGCATTCAGAAGACAGAGGAGAGAATTCATTCAACCAGGCTCTTGCAAAGGTGGATGGTAATGAGATGCAGAACACCTTCAGAGGGATATGCCTAACATAACAGGAGGAAGAGAGGAAGGAGGTGGCTGCTGATGAAGGTGGATTTGTAGGCTTGGAGGAAGAAAATCTCCATTCTCCTTCCTCCAGTTCTGCAAATAACTCATGGGGCAAGAGTGAATAGATAGGCATTAATAATGTGATGTCAGAGGCCGTGACTAATGAGGAAGCCGAGGGGGCATTATTAGGGTTGATGATAGACATTAATGAAAGAGACTGAAGTATACATAACCACACATTTTATACTCCATTCTTATATTATGTTCAAAACAGAAAGGATAGAAAAATTAGTTAAGAGAGAATTGGGACCCTAAATGGAGAAAAAATAGTGAGAAAGAATTTAGTTACTTTAAAAGTTCAAATCTTCAGGCCCTGTGTGCCAAATTAGCTTAATGATACAATTGAAGAATCATTCTTGATATTAAAAATTATGCTGATTGAAACAGTCATGGTAATATTGGAAATGATCTATTTTTTAAAGGAGTAAAAGGGGAATTCAAGAAAATCTAGTAGAGTCAAATGAACTATGATCTTTGCAAGTTTGTTATCCGTGATCATTAGGAAGCAGCAAGGTTCATGAGGAAATGTTTATGCTAAAATATTATTTTTTATTGAGACAGTATCTATCTTGTAATTTCAAAGTACATGACTGGTAGATTAAATAAATATCATTTACAAAGATAACAGAGTTTCAGAGGGCATTGATCACAGGACTGCTGTATGGAGAACTGTATTTTTCAAAGAAACATTGGTATATAGAAAATGGTCAACAAGAGGTCCCAGATGAAAATGGACAGGGATAACTAAAACAATAGCTTTGGGTGAGACAACAAAGGTATCCTCAAGTACTTCAAGGCTGGGTGTGGCCAGTCCTTTTTTCTTTCTTTTTTTTTTGGTACAGTAGCCCGGGGAGTAGAGCTAGAAGCAAGGGTGAAAAGTTCCAAGGAAGTAGATTGCTGCCCCTAAATAAAGAATACCTAACACCTGGAGATGTCCATCGATGAGGAACACTTGAGCTCCTCAGTCTAGGAAGATTCTAGAAACTGTACTGGGGCTTCTGCTACAACAAGATGGGGCGGGGACTATGTAACTCTAAGGCAGCAATGGCGAACATTTTAGAGACGAGTGCCCAAACTGCAACCAAAACCCACTTATTTACTGTAAAATGCCATCACTGCAATTAAACCTAAATACTGAGGTTTTAGTTTAGAAAGAGCAACTCATACATTAACATCTTCTGTCTCAAAAGAAAAACAACACATGTGCCATAGGCTTACCACCTATGGCACCTAAGTTCTGTTCCATTAAAATAAATTTAGAGGAAATGTGACTTGGGTGTTCATTCTTCAGCACACTCATGCTAGATATGGAAACACGGATGCCTACAAGTAGCAGCCCAAAGCTGCATAGAGAGGCAATGGTAGAGCAAAGACTGAATCCATCTGCACTCTCCCCAAGTCTGCCCCAGATTTCTATTGCTCCGCACCACTCTATTTCCACCATTTCTATTGCTTTGTCAGTGACCAGTGGTTGCTTTTCCTTTTTGAAATTTCACTTACGAGTTCTAAATCCTTTGTTCATGACTTTCAGGTCACACTTTTCCATGAAAGTCCCCTGATCCACATGGCCTGGATGAAATCTGTAGCACTGGCCTTGAAACTCAGCAGTCCTGAGTATCTGAGCCTTGAGGTTTCTGTAATCCTTGAGGAGGTTTCCCAGAGAGTTTTATGTATAGAATCTGGAGGAAAAGGGAAATATTCACAGGAAGAAGACAGAATTCCAAATCACTGTATCTTACCTTGTCCTTGGGGTTTGCTGTGCTCCTGCCTCAGTTGTACATGACAAAGTTCATCCACTGAGAAATAAGCATCATCATTACAACCAGTGCTTTAAGCTCCTTTACTTCATATAGGGATGTACAAGTGCTACCCTCCTCCCTTGGAAGATCCCAGTTCAGTCTCATCACCCCTTTTCAGCTAACTCTAACCCAAGCAGGAGGTCTAAGCCCTATTTCAACATATCTTCTGGTAGTCCCTCAGAAGCCAGGCAGTGACAAGTATGACTGAGGTTGACCAGCTGGCCTGTTGGAAGGCTCTAAAATTCAGTGGGAGCAAGTTTAATGTACAGTGAGCTTGGCGGGCTGCTCTTCAGTTCCTTCTTGGATTTATGACTCCCACATAATCCCCTGCTTTATTAAGCTATTGGAAAAAAATAAAATCTGTCTGCCAAGATCCTAAAGCAGCCCGGCAGCCAGCAATATATAAAGGCAGTAATTGGAGGCAGGGGGGCCAGTGGCTTGGCTGGCCTTTGATGGAGGGTTCAGTATCCTCATGGAGAAGAATGCCCACTGGAAGTGGGTCAGGAAGGGCGGCCCCGGGGTTGCACCTGGCCTTGAGAAGGGAAGGTGCCTCACCTCCATTTCCGTCAGGTAGAGTCCTTTTCCGTCCTTGGAGAGATTATGGAATGTCTCTAGGATAAAGAAGGAAAGGTTTTGACTGACTGAGGAGAAGGAAATCAGGGCAGGGCAGGCCCATGAGAGGACCGAAGCAGCGGTGAGGACTCTGTAAAGCAGCTCTCGTGGTCCACAGACTGAGCCCATCCCCACGTTCCTCTTTTGGCTCAAGCTCTATTACTGTGGGTCAGCTCTAGGCTCCAGTTCTCACAATAGCCCTCTGTGACTGCTCAGTCCCCTCCCCTTCCAGATTCCTGGCCCCTTATGTCCCTCCACACTCAGTCAGGAAATGTGTGGGGTTTCCTTAGTTTCATGAGTGCAGTCTGGGGACCTGCCCAGTGCCCCTAAGAATACCCTGGGGGCGAGGTTTGTGCTTCAGGCTTGGCTCTGACCCTCCCAAGGCTCCATTCACTCAGTTTTTTTTTTTTAATTTCCCCCCTCAGAACTGTGGGGTTTGCAGAGGGACATGGCAGGGCCGGGGTGTCTCTGGCCCCCATACCACCACTGTGGCCTGGGATTTCACACAGGATTTCATTTAAAACAGGCTATGTTGCTAAAAAGGGTCAAATTCTCTGGCCTCCATAGCTCAAGGAAAGGCCTCCTGTCCCACTTCCTTACCCATGTGTATGTGGTTTCTTCTGCAGAGACCACACCCTTCCCTGCAAGACTGAAGAGCAGGTTTCAGTTATATACACAACCCAGAGAGGGGCAGGGTGATTTAAATTAACCTTGTCCCTAGGAGAGCTAGACATGGTGAAGAGGTCACAAGAGACCTGGGATGGGGGTGTTGGGGTGGCCAGGGTATGGAAGGGAAGCTGGTGACGCTGTTTCAGTGACTGCACTATTAGTGACAGCCTCAGTTGGCACTGAGCTCTTACAGCAGGGACGCCTCAGGCAGGACACCAGCCCATCCACTCCCGAGGCCTTGCCTGGCCTGGGGCAGCAGGGTCTCCCCCAGGGACACTTACTTGTCATGGCTTCCAGCCGCATCAGGAAGCAGACCAGGCTGGGGAAGCTGACCTGACCAGCGCTGTCACTGTAGCGAAGGGTCATGAGACCCAGCAGCTCACTGCTGATGGAGATGCCTGTAAGGAAGTTTGGGCCACAGGGTGAGCTGGTAAATGGAGGAGGTAGGGTGGGGAAGGGGAAGGGGAAGTGAGGGGTTCCCCTCTGCCTCGCCAGACGTGGGACATTTGTTCAGAGTGCTCAGGGGCCCCCCATCGCCTCCTGTTCAGCCTAGTTTGGTGGCCAGTCCCCTTCTCTCAGGACCTCGCTGATCTTCCCATGTTCTCTGGCCGGGCACTAGTGATACAGTTCAGGAGGTTGTTCAGGGACCAGCTTAAGGGACACGACACTGAGTGTTCCTCTGGAGACACATGAGCCTTCCCGATTGGATAATCCTGCCCAGCATGGGGGCTGGCAGGACCAGGGGCTTGGGTCTAGCCCTGGGTCTGTCGGGCCTCTCTCTGTGGGTGGCTTTATAAAACCATCCTCCTCCCCAATCCCAGGACTCTGTGTGGGCCTTCTGCATGGATGCTGCTAGGATGAGCAGGTGTGGACTCCCTGAAAGAGAGGGATTTAGTTCTGTGTGGTCTCCCAGGGAAAAGGCTGCTTCTCAGAGGGGAGACCAGGCTCAGAAGGGGGCCTCAGCCGGGCAGAAGACAGTCCCATTGCCCTCTTTGTCTTGTTGCCTTGCAGTCTAGTTATAAGTTCCAGGGAGGCACCAGCCACAGAGGGACAAGTGCAGACTGGCACACGGTTGGACCTGCAAACTCTGGCGAGCAGCAAAACCTTGCAAGCTGAGCCATCCCTCAAGAGATGAGCCCAGTAGCCTGTGGGACCCCTGCACCCAGTGACACTTTTGATTCCAATCTCACAATGCCTTCAAAGGGGCCATACCATTGTCTCCACCTGCTGCTTCTCAGACTGCTCATTCACTTATGGTTAAGTTGCCTGCCTAGCCCCTGAAGTCTGTTCAGTTGAATTTGAACTATTCTTTATTTTTCTCTCTTCTTATTATTCTGAACTCTTTAGTGAGGGCTCCTGTAATGATTTCTTCTTTAATGGGCCTTCGGTGGTTCTCAGGTGTTTTCCAGATGGGCAGGAGCACCACCTGGTGCTTGTTGGGAAATGAAAGCTCTCTAGCCCCATTTGGACCTCCTATATAAATGCAAGGGAGGCTCAGCTTTCTGTGCTTTCACAAGCCCTGAGCAGAGGACTCTGATGACCCCCAGGTTTAAGCTCTGCAACCCTGCTCTGAAGAATTAAGGGGAGGATCTACGCTCAAGTCAAGAGCAGAGTCCTGTATTTCTACCCCCTCTCCAGATCAGGAGCCAGGGGAGAGAGAATTATGGAGTTAACCTGGGGGAGCACGATTTTACAGTTTGAGGAAAGTGGTCATTGCATTAACTTTTTGTGATCCATTTTCCCCAGTGGTACAATGGAGGCAATGATTCCTGCCTTTCCCAGGTCTCAGGGCAGTCAAGATAATCACATGAGGTGACGTGGACAGGAGAGCTTGGTGAGCTGTGCAGCCCATATATACCTGAAGGTTTTATCATTAGCCCAGCAAAGCACTTTTGTTTACTGGAAGCAGGCAGATGCCATTTGATTCCATTTAGCCCCAAATCCTCCATGAAGAGAGAGAAGAGAGACCATCAGCCTGCGTGTGGATTTTTAACTCTGATGGCCCAGGTGCTGAGCTGGATGCTTCTGGAAGGTAGGGCATTAATCACAAGTAGCTATTTTCTCACAGTTAGAGCTGTACTGGGGAGAAAAGGCAGCTGGGAAAATTGACTGACATTAAGAGAGCTCCATCAGAGGCCTGATGTCTGAGTCTGGAGCCCTGGAGACCCATCAGGGTGATGGCAGACCAGGGGAGAATGTGGGAGCTGAGTTGTTCTCTCTCCTGACTGTCCAGCTTTACAGCACTACAGTGTCATACAACACACTGGGGCTGAGGGGAGCCTCTCCCTGCACGCAGGCCCAGGACACCCTGCTCAAAAGGCCCCTGCCTTACCTGTGCTCTCTATGGCCTTGCTCAAGTCTGAGCTCAAGAGGACTCCAGAGCTTTGCTGGATGTTCTGGAAAACATGCTGACATGGAAAAAGGGGAAAAGAAGAAAGAAGCCATGGTGAAGACCTGCAGGGTGTGGATGGAAAAGACTTGGAAATCCCTTTTAACACCTGGCGTTTGCCTCACTAAAGCCTCAGTGGACCCAGCTCAGAGGCAGGCCAGGGAGCAGGAAGGAGGGTTGGGGCAGGTAGGAGTGTCCGAAGTTGGGGCCTGTGCATTTCCCTCTCCCAACCTGCTTTCCTTTCCTCCTCCCATCTCAGGTGGATCCCGCCACCTAGCACAATTTGCTGTCTTCATGGAAGCATAGGGCTATCTAAAGAGTTTGCAAAGGGTAGTGGTCAAGAGCACAGACTTGATGAGCAAATGTCCGGGATATAAGTCCCAGCCCAACTATTTATCAGCTGTGTAACTAATCTTAGGTGAGTTATTTCCTCTCTCCTGGCAAATATTTATCAGGTGCTTAGGCGTGTACCTTGAACAGGAGTGAATGCTGTGGAGAAGGTATTGGGAGTAAGTCCAATAGGTATTGGGAATGGGGTCCAGGTACAGTTGCAGGAAGTAGTAACTCATATGTCACTTTTGTACACTGCTGCTCTTACACTTACAGCTTTCCCACCTCTGCCTAATCCTCACTGTATTCTGCTCACTATCATACTCCCCAGGAGAGGACACTGATGCTCAGTCAGGAGGAGATCTGGCCTTGGATTCAGTGGGCAGCTGCGGCAGGGCTGAATGCAGGACTCCAGTTTTGGTCTTTGCATAGCTGCCCCTAGGAGTTTTCCAAGATACACCCCCCTCCCCCACCCCACCAGGTGAGGCCAACTGTGGAAGACAATGACTGTGCAATAGCAGCTTAAGAGGTGTTCTTGGCCTTATGAGGCTTTTGGTGAGCTAGAGATAAACTTCAAGTGTTCCCCACTGGGTTTTCTTGTGTCCATTTGGTAACTGGTTTGGTCGTTTAGTCAGCATTTTTTAATGCTGCTATATTAGACACACTGTGCAGCGCACTGGAGACAAATGGACCTGAGGAGGTCTTGCCCTGGAGGACACGACAATTTAAAGGGGGAATAATGTGCCAACAATTTCAGTGCCTTGCAAGAAACCAAGTGACCAGTGTCCCTGACCTGTGTGGTGCGTCCTGGCAGAGACACAGGAGCTCTTTTCTCAGCCTGTAAATACTGCACAGAGATATTTAGTGGCTTCCAATATGTTGGTGCTTTCTTTCTTTAAAAGCATATGATACTTTTCAATTTCCTGTTTGTACATATTACAGGAAAAATTTGAGAAATATTCACCATGGTAGGTGTGAGTTTTCCTTTGGTAAGATCAGGTTTTCTTTTTAAATTTATTTTTGTTCATCTGTATTAAGAGGCATTGCTTTTATCGCAACAAAAAGTTATTTTTAAGTACAAAACAGTAAGACAGCAGAGTGTGGCTTGTGCTGTCAGATGGAGGCTCACGTGTGAGGAATCAGAGGGGCACTGATCAGGTCCCAGGGTGCAGGGGCAGAGAAGGAAGAGCAGGCCGAAGGCACAAGGGCAGGCATTTACAGGGAATAGCCGGGTGCCTTGTAGTTGGGGTCACAGGAAGGTGCATGAGTGTAAAGGGCTTCTCCTTGACTCAAAAGCAGGGGCCCAAATCAGAAGGCCTTGTGTGCTGCTCTGATGAATTTAGACTTTGTCCTGAGGACAATGGGGAGGCCACACTCAGGCTGTAGACCAGCTGTGTCTGTGTTTTTGGCAGATGCTCTGGCTCAGGCACTGGACAAGAAAGGGGTGGCCTCATAGACTGAGTCTGGGGAGAAGCGAGGAGCACCCTGCTGGCTGACAGTTCCAGCTGTGGTGACCTCTCTCTTCAAAGCCTCCCAGGTCCTTGGCCTTCTCCTGTGTGAGCACGTTTCCCAGACAATACAACCTCTGGTAGTAGGGTGAGGTTTCCTCCCCTTTCCACCCCTTGACCCTGGTTCAGGCTCGGACACCTTGGAAATATTTGCTAAACTAGATGAAATAAGGAGGTTAGTCATAGAGGACATGCCCCTACCTGGAAGTGGACAAGACGCCTCCACAGTCTGGCAAACTCCTCCTGGTCAAGCCGCCCATTCACCTCTAGCTGGGTGAGGAGTTAAGAGTTAACTAGTCTGGGGTACCCTGAGCAAGGCCCACTGGTCTCACCAACAAAGCCAGAGCAACTCTATCAACTACTAAGCAGTCGGTTGGGTGTCACCTACACATGGCCCCCTGCCAGCTCACTCGCACTGTGTATGAAGGTGACCTGATTTAGATTTGTTTTATAGACGAAGACAGATAAAGAGGTAGAAGCCCTGAGAGAGGGAGGCTGAGCACACTTGCATCTAGAGGACAGGGTGACTCTGATATGGCCTCCACCAATTGGGTGGGACCCTGGCAAGGAGGATGGGGATGAGCACGAAGGGTCTTGCAACTGTGGATGCAGCAGTGATGGGTGAGTGTGCCAACCTTGTGCACAAATGTGTGCAAGGAACGCTTTCTGTGTATCGATGCCAGTCCTGGCCCCCCGCCCCCACCCCCCAGGACGGGGACACTGATGACTCGGGAGAGGAAAAGAACTGGCTTCTGCAAACTGGAAGGGAGCCATGGGGGAGCAGGGGAACAGGAAGGGCCCGGTATACTTTGTAGGGTTCTATGTGAGTGACCTGCCTTGGGCTCTCTGGCCCGGCCTGCAGATGTGAGGGCCATTTGGATTGCTCTGTGTCTGATTGCAACCCTCAGCTAGCGGAGACAGGGCCTGATTTATGATTTCATCAAGAAGCTCTCTTGTTCTACAATGGCCAGCTTCGCATTCCCAGTCGAGCCTTGTTAACGGTGTGGGAGCTGGGTGATCTGTCTCCCTCGGAGACAGCCACAGCTGGGGGAGGACCTGCCTGTGTGCGCAGCCTTTCCTTCCTGTAGGGAGATGGTGCAGGCAGGAGGGCGCTTCAGGGAGAGTGAATGTAGGGATGGGAGTCAGGAGGCTGGGATTTCATTCTTGATTTTGCCACTTGCGGTCACTGAACTGCCGAGACCCAGTGTCTGTGGCCGCAAACGCAGCATGTTAGCAGCAATGGCTTCAGCTGCTGTGTAGAGCAAGGAGGCTCCTGCATGTTGGTGCGGTTATCTCCACTGAAATGGGGCTCATTGAGTAGGGAATCTAAGTAGTGAAGACTTCTCCAGTGGTGAGGGACACGGGGAAGGGAAGTGGTCCTCCATGGAGCTCAAAGGAGAAGGTGTACAAGAAGGTTAGAACACAGACTGAAGGTGAAATCCCTACTTCACATCTGGACACAAGTCCTGGCTAGACGCGTGACCTGGGTAAATGACTGAACCTCCCCGAATCCCTATTCTTCCACTGTACAGTGGGATACTGCTTATATCACAGGATTATTGCAAGAATTATAAGGAAAATCTCTATATACGTTTATATTCACCAGTACAATTTGTAAATGCTTGACTGATGATCACTTTTGCTACCACTGCCGATTGATCTGGAGTTAGCGGAGAACGCACACGACCCCAGGCCTCTGGTGAACCTGGGAAGGCCACAAAGTGAATGGGCTCCTGCGGCTGGATAAAAGGTCGAATGAAAAGGATACATCCATCAGAGCCACAATACTGCGGCACTCGTCCAAGGAGAAAGTGTCCCCTGGAGGTCCTGAGGACGGAGAACAGGAAGGGCTGAATCGTCAGTGGAGTGGAGAGGGGCCAGGGGAGATAAGGCTGGGCCCAGCAGGCCCTGGAATGTACCTGTCAGGAGCTCCTGGTTGAGAAGGCTCTGAAGTTGAGTAGCATCAATGTCCAGCCCCTGATTCAAACAAGGAGGGAAGATGGGCATCAGACGGGGCCGGGACCGGAGAGGCCCACTGCCCAGCTCCAGAATAGCTCTCTGATTGCCAACCATTTCGTGTTCACCAAGTGCCTGTGCCACCTTGACCTGGCTATTCCAGGCCATGGCAATGACTCCCTCTCTGAGCATCTATAGTGGCCATCAGTCCTGACATTTGCCACCAGTGGGCGCCTCCTGGCACTTCCCTTCTCTTCATTACTGGACTGAAAACAGCTGCTTCCTCTCTACCATGCCTGGCATCAGGAACCCCTCAGGTCAGTACTGCTGGGTGAATCAATGCACCTCTGTAGGTGAGTTTCCATCGACTTCCAGACTAAGAGAAAATATGACTGAGGGTATGTGACTGTGTGTGTGCACACATGTGTGATAATAGGAGTTAAAAATATCCCAAATCTAGGCTAAGAGAAGCTACTACAATGGAACACATTGCTTAGTATTAATCTTTCCAGCCATTGAAGCAAAAGGGAGATGGCATGGTTTTCCTTGGATTAAAAGCAGGAAGCAGTTAAGGTTGAAGGGAAAGAGGCCTATGCTCTGGAGAAGTTAATCTCATTAGAGTTGTACTAGGGCACTGAACAGCATGATGGGCGGTGTCTTTGGTGACGGTTTTACTGAGAAGCAGAGCTGTTGTCCTTGGGGGAAGTGTTTGCTCGGAGAACTGGCTCTGGAGTGAGGTTTCTCGGCCGGTGGCTTTGTAGAGTGACACTGGGTCAAGTGGAAGCAGATATTTCCTGTGGATCTTCCGAGAACCAGCATCTCATAGAAGATACACTGTCCCTTCCATCTCCCCGGGTTGGCCTCACCACCCACACTGAGAGCAAATGCAGCCCCTCAGCCTGTCCTAATGGGTCCTTCAGCCAGGAGCACAGGTCCTCTTGATGCCTCAAGAAGACGTGCTGCCAGTATCTGAAGTTGCCCCTCGGGTTACCCTTCCAACATCTCACAGTTTGCGTGTCAGGAAAGCTGGTGTGTGTGCCCAACATCACCTGAGTTTCTCTGCAAAGGAATCCTCACTTTCATCAGCAGCTGACACGCTAATGAGGAATTCCAACTTACCTGGAATTGCCCAGTGGGCTACAACAGCATGGACCAGGGAACATGTCTGCTGCCTTTTCCACATTCCCCACCTAGGACACACTCTGAGCTGGAGCCATACTCCATAACCAACCAGAAGTGTGTGAGAAGATGAAGGCAGGAATGGAGTTGATGGCTGCTTAAACAAATTCCCACAGAACTGCACGTTTGTCTCTGCTACTGCGGTGTGGGAGACCCAAGGGCTGGCACTTTGGTATTCCCAAAGCTTGGTGCGACACATGGCATGCTGTAGGTGCTTGGGAAATGCTCACCCACGGAATAAACAGTAGGTAGTGGGTGGATTTGCTCCAACCCAGAGTTCAAGTGTATTCTTCCTTTCCCAAAGGCAGTCCTTGATACAGTACCATCACCACCACCAAGGCTCAGGAAAGTAAATAGTGGTGGGAACAAGTCACTGTATTAATTTAAAGCAGTTTAAACTGATGTAACAGATCAGGAGAGAGGACTTTGCTTTACCTTTTCTTTGGAAGACACAGTCTCTCAGGATAGTCTGCAGATCACAGAGCATGACAACAGCTGGGCCTTGTTCAAGGGTCCCCAGTCTAGTGGTGACCTTGGAATGATGCTGTGTCTGTGCCTTATTCTAACTCCCACCAAGGCCCAATAGGAGCCTCCTCTAAGAGGAGGTGTTTGGCTGTTGTCTGGGAAAGTCTTGGCTGTGAATCTGCACCTTCTTATCACTGGACACAGTGTTTAGTTTAGAAGTACAAATGCACGGACCCTGAAGAAGCTTGGTCTAAGGTATCCTAATCAGGCCGTACTGGGGCAAAGAATGCACACAATGTCCCCCCTCCCCAAGGGAACCCGCACACGGAGAACGATGATCATCTGGCCAGCCTTGTCAAGCAGCAAGTGAAGAGCCTTCAGAGGTAACCTGGGGGTGGCCTGACTCCTCAGCCAGCGCCGATTCCAGAGAGGAACTGCTTTGGGCCCAAAGTAGCCCTCGTTCCAGCCACATTCTGCATTTCTCTTTTCTTTTCTCTGAACCCAGCATGCCTCCAGGACACTGCCACCCCTTTAGTCCTCTGAATACAGAGCCAGGGCCTGGCATCCTTCCTGTCTGGTGTGGTACATACGATCATGTCTATCACTTTCTGCTTCCCTCACCAGTGCGATTATTAATGGTAAAAGGCCTGCCAAGTAGAGCCCTTGGCAGCTACTTTATCCTGACAGGTCAGGGAGTTCTTTATAACAGTTTATTAAACCATTAGGAACATCCTGAATGCACATAGGTGGCTTGGCAGGAAGCATGCTGTTGTGCTTTCTGAAGCTGGCCAGCTCCTGGAAGGAATGATGCCAGCCTGGGGGGAGGTGGCGGAGCCAGAGAGGGAAAGATTTCAAAGGGTGCTGCCAATTGCCTGTTTAAAGATGTTAAAGGCAACATACCCCTTGCACACTCCCTGTAATTATCTTCCCCCTTTCTAAGCTCTTTGTTCCACTGGGATGTCTCCCAGCAGGGGGTGGCACTTCTCTCCAGAGCTAGGCAGCCAGAGAAGTTCTGGAGATGGTCCAGGCAGAGGGAGAAGCTGAGAAAATGACCCATCAACTGGCTCTTCCTCTGCATCCTGACAAGGGCCTAGACAGCTCTCCTGCCCTGAAGTCCCTCCATCTTCTGCCCCACGGAGCCCCTCAGGGCTTGGTACTGTACCTTTGGCGCATATCTGTAGAAAATGCTTTGTTCAGAGCCATTTTCTGAAAGAGTTTCCTGGATCAAAGGGGAAATAGCCAACATTAAACTTCTGAGGAGAAACCTCCCTCTCCTGTACAGCAAGAGCCCAACGACTCCCACGTAGATCAGAGGCAAAGGCAGTTGGAAAAACTCAGAGAATTAGAAAATCAAAGTTTGTGGCAAAATGATGGTTGGGTCCAGCCTGACCTTGAAGACCCGATGTTCTCCTTCCCACCCCTTTTGTGCCCTTTGCAGACTCTCCATTTCCACTGATCCGTGGTGAGGCTGGCCAAAGCTGTTGGGGACGGGATGTGGTCAAGGAAGTGTGCCAACTCAAAACCTTCTTCCGTGTCTATCAACCATACCTTCCTCCATACCTACCTCCAGTGCTCTGAGCTTGAAACTGCTGCCCGGGTTCCTAGGAAACCAGAAGGACAGTGTGTCAAAGATGACCTCACTATTGAGAAGAGGCTGCATATGGGGGACCCAGGAGGCACCTGACGTTTCTGACAAGGACGAGAGTGGAGAGCCCTCGGCATCAGAGGACATGAAGTGGGCAGTCAGCACACAGACCAGCCTTTTGGGTGGGCATGGTCTGATAGTCTAATCGTTGAGTAAATAGCCACTTTCATAACGACATGCACATGTACAGTGACTCCCATTGCCAGGATAAGGATGACTATTGCTTTACAGTCCATCTTGAATAGGTGGCAATGGCTGCCTAGCCTGCTAGACTGAGACGGCCTCCCTCACACTCACAGGAAAGTTCACTTGCAATGTCTGTCTCAGGGCCAAGGGGGACAAGAAGCCCCACGAGTGAGTACTTGTGGGTCTCAGGCTTGACCTATTGACTAGGCACTCGACACCCAGCAGGTTTGGACAGGCCCACTTTTCTCAGTCCCCCAACCCATCCCACATTGTGGCCACTAGTGGACAAGTGGACACACAGGTTGTAGGCCACCAGTCTGTGCCTTGCTACTCAGCAAGACCTGTGCTGACCCACTTCCCTGCTTTTGCAAAGGCTTTTTTCTTCCAATTGCATGGACTTTCTCCTTCTCCCATTAATTTCTTTTTTCTTTTAAGGACTAACTCAAGCATCACTTCCTTCAAGAAGACCTCTTCAGTCCATCTGGCCAGAATGGATCCCTCTACTCTTCCTCCTATTCAGCTTTGCATCTAGCAATGGTCCCATCCTGCTTTGGTCCAGTTACTGGCTCATAGACTTTTTTGTCCCCTCTTACAGGGAGTTCTCAAGAGCAGAGTCCATATTGTGCCCCCTCTGACCCAGTACGTGCTACCTATAATTTGCACAGAACACTGGACACAATGATACCATGCTTTTTACAAAATTAAGTAGAATAAAACATGTGGCATCTCAGAGATTCTGTACCTGTCACTGTCTGGCATTTTCAGGAAGATTCGGAGCAAGAACTTAGCTTCTTTTCTATGTGCTGAGGGGACCACAACATAGGTCCCAGGGTTGAGATGGAAAGATTTCATGAAGTTGCACTTGGTTTCATAATCTATGCCCTGGGCAGCATTTCTAAATGGAGAAAAGAACGTGGGCGGCAATCTCTCCTGGAATTGCTGAAACTAGAAGAAACACGATTATTGTGGAAAAGCCCCCTCTCTCCATGGTCCCAGCCACCAAGAGAGACCCACCACCTTCCAGACCCAGCATTACACCTGAATGGCATGGCAGGCCCTGGGAAGGGACAGTGCTGTCCTGAACTCTCACAAAACCCAGTATAATTTAGATTATTAATTCATCTAGACCATAGACTCTATGATGAATGCAAAGAAATATGACAAGCAATTCTATCTTACTAAATCTAACAGCATCCTGGTGTGCTCTCTCTCTCTCTCTCTCTCTCTCTCTCTCTCTCTCTGCTTCTGTGTTAAGATCTCCATGGGAACTAGTGACACTGTTCCAACACTGACTTTCTTTTGGGTCCTCTAAAGCCCCTTCTACACTTGCAGTGAAATACTCTGGGCTGCCATAGCATTGCAGTGTTGAATTCTTTCCACTTCCTCTGATTCCATCTCTCCAACAGAGCCCTGAGATTCTTTCTCATTGGAAAATAATAGCCCCTGATTATTTTCCTTTTATTTCAATATTTCTTTAAAGATAAAACAATAAATATAATGTAGTTCCTATTACGAGATGTCACATATATATCACATAATAAAAACCCCTTACTAAACAAATTTCCCCCCACTACAATTGAGCATGGGGATTCCATTTAGAATGGTTACACAGCATGAAATGATTATTTATGTGCTCTGCTTTGGAGGAAAAACAGGGGAAAGGGCAGTATTTTTCCTAGAGCACAGGGACAGGGCTGGGCTCCCAGGTGAGTCAGGAGATAGGGCACCACCCCAGGTGTACTGCAGAGCGCTGGGTGGAAGCTTCCAAGCTGTTCTACTGATGACAGCAGCAGCCCCATGGGTTTGGGAGCTGGATGTGTTGGAGCCCTTCTGGCAGAAGCCATAATGGGACCAGTTCCCCTCCAGAGGCCCAGCTGTGTCCTGTGGCTCTAGCTATGACTCTGCATGCAGCAGTGTGTGGCAGCACGCCTCCTACGATCTAGGGGTTGAGAACAGCCTTGTGTCCCTGCTCTCCTCCCTCCGCGAGACCCTCCCAGTCCTCCCCGGCTCCCGATCCTTCAGAACATGCTTGCTCAGTGGCAGAAGTGTGTGTGGGGGGAGACTGACGCAATGTCTTGGTCCAGCACTCGGAGGAGCCTCCTTCAAGTTCAGCAGGGCTGCTGGGGAACAGAGCTGATGATCGCTCTAGGGATGGGGCTTGTGGCTTTTCCCGGGCCAAGTCCCCACCCTGTTCTCCAGCTCTGGGAACTGGAGCACCAGCCCGGCCCTTGCACCTGACCACTTCCCTCAAAGGCCTCCCTGAAGGTCCACTTCTCCCCACTCCGCCTGCGCCTCGTCACCTTTCCTGCTCCGGAACACCTTTCCCCGGCCTCCGTCTACCTGTGCTGCTGCTTGGAAGGCCTGGAGGGGCCACGGTGACTCTCTCTTGGCTGTGGCCATATCCCACCCTCCTCCCATCCACTCCGCCCTCTAGCTCCTGCGGCAGAGGTCTCTCGGGGGTACGGATGGACCCGGACGCCCACTTCAGAGCTCACGACCATGGCAGGTGAGTGCCCCTGAGGACTGGTTTTCTGAGTTCCACCCATCTTTCTCTATTCCTCCTCACAGATTTAAGTTTTAGCAATACTGAGTCAGGTTATCTGTTTAGGAGCAGTGGCGATTTGCTTGTCAGAGGATCCAGAATATGTGCCTACAGCGGAGTGCGGATTTGAGGGCTGACTAACTCTGGAAGTGGAAGATTCTCCTAAGTGTCCCTTAGTGCTGCTCCCATCTTACATACACAAGAACAGCTCTGTCGTTCTTCTCTGGCAGGGGCCAGATGCTTGAGGACTTCGGCCCTCTTGAATGTTAAATAGGGGAGCGCCTAAGGGATCTAACCTTTAGACTAGACCAACTACATGTTTTCCCACTTTGTTGACCTGCTTGAGACACTAGGCCTATATATGATGCAAGACTTTGCAAGCCTGAGTTTGCAGCCTGGAGTATGTGGAGGCCATGGGTCAGAAGAGTCTGGGCATTTTACCAAGAGGCAGCACCAGGGACAGGAGAAGGTGATGAGCCATACCTGAGAATCAACCTGTGGGGCAGAAGAAGAAAATTGGGTCAAGAAGCTGGACCACAACAGAATCGAGCAGGTGCTCCTTCCTCTTGTGTGGGCATCCCCATTTCCTGGCACAAGGTGAGGGGAAGGGACTCATTCTGCGCTCAGTCCCAGTGTAGAGTTGTAAAAGAGGAGCCCTACTACCTTACTCGGTTGCACAAGAGGAAGGAACTGAAGGAGGAAAGAAGGTGAGAGGGAAGGTACCCCCTCTGTCCCTCAGCAAGGTGTGGTTCCTGTCCATAGCAATGAGGGTAACACTGGAAGGGAAGGAGAGACATGGCCGGGCCTGGAGATAAGACACAACCTCAGGCCTGTGTAAATTTGCCATGTCGGGACCTTCCGTAGTTCCCTCAGACTGTAATTATGCTGGGATTTTGTTCTCAGCTCCCTGGCACTGGCAGGGACGTACATGTGCAGGTGAATGAGGAAAGAGCTGTGTTCCACTTTTTCCACCAGGTGGAAAGAAGTACAGAGGGTGCAGTTTCATCTTGAAACCCCTCTACCGTTTGTGAAGCACTTGCATGTACAGTGCTTCATGCTATTTCTGCAAGCAGACATCCTGCTTTGTAAGGGCGGAAACAGGCTCAGCAGTTTAGGTAGCAGACTGGGGAACAAGGCAACCTGTGTTGCTCCCCCCCCGCCCCAACCAGGCACTGCCTTCCCTGGCTGATGTGGAATTTAATTCTTCTCCAGATTCCATGAACTGCCCCAAGCTCTCCCTGCCTATTTATACACAACCACGATTTGGTTTGGTTTCAGAGCAGTGTCCCCACTGCACCAGGGCTGGAGCCCCATTTCAGCTGGGTGAGCACTGCACACTGAGCCCAGGGACTCACGAGAGTCAGCCTGATTGAGCCTGTTTCTCTGCTGGACTGAAGAAGGAGCCCCCATGACCTTTGATTTGTCTGAGTCTAGACAGTTCTTTGGTGTTTAACTCAGTGAGAATCCTGAAAGATCTGCTGGGATCTCCAGGGAGCCCAAGAAGACCTTGGGCCTGAGAGCTCCTGTGGTAAATGGGCAGCTGAGGAATCCCACATGAAAATCCTAGTGAAAAGGAGGGAAGCAGGCTCTGTAGTACTTTTTAAATGGGCACAGTTACAATCTTGCCACAGCTTCTGAACTGTAAAGACTCAGGGAAAATCAGTTAGCTCAGGCTGCTACGTTGCAGCTCAGGGACCCCAGGCTGAAGGACAATGACGTGAAGTTTCCCCAGGAGCCATGCACTCAGGCGGCCCCCAGCCTGTCCTAAGGTTTCTCCCTCTCACATCAGGGAAAGGAAGAGTCGGCTGAGATATTTTTAGTAGTCTGGGGCTTGGCCTATTCATTTTTGGGGTGGGGCAGATTAGGTGCCTCAGTACAACTCTTGGATTTATACTTGTTGGCTTTTTTCTTTTTTTAACCTACATGCCTCTCCAAAGTTTCACCAATAATTCTCAAGCATGTGTAAGCAGCCCCTAGGGAGTTTGTTAAAATGCAGACTTTTAGGTTCTGTCCTTGCAGATTCTGATTCAGTCAGCCCCAAGAATCTGCATGGTTACAACAGCTGGTCTTGGGCCAGGCTCCTTTTCAAGGTACAGGCATTAGATTCTGCAGCATACCTGGAAAAGGTGACCAGCGACAGAGATAGGAGGTGTGTCTCACTGTCAACCTGGTCAAGTCAAATCTCCTCTCCAGTTTTAGGTTTTCTTGCAAACTTAGAACACTACAGACCCTTGGGTTTTGTCTCCAAGCTCTGGTACACTCACATCTCCCTGCCTGGCAGGCTGTTTTCCCCTGCCCAAGGTATGCACAAGTGTCCCTAAAAGATGAGCCCTGAGGCAGGCAGCCTTACCTTAAACACCTGGAAACTCAAGGGAAATCCCTTCTCTTCTGCCTTCAGGAGTTGTGGCATGACAGTGAAGGACACAACAACATTGTTGCCTCCTTGGGACTCTTGCACACTGAAGAGGTAATAAGGATTCCTCCTGGGTTCTCCTATGTGAGAAAAGGCCATTACAGGCGCCATTCCCTGTTGGGGCATGTCTAGTTTGGAGAGCCCCACGGGGCTAGGTTACTGCCTCTGAATTTGGAGACCTAAGGCCTGGGTACCTGTCTCGCAGTTACTAGTTGTGGTACTTCAGAAAGGTTCTTTACTTTCTAAGCCCCAGTCTCTCCCTCTTAAAAAACAAGAAGAAGGAGTATAATCCCTAGGTGAGGAAAATGTCTCTTAATCTGTGTTTTACCTATTTTCCTGCAGCTGGTATGCAACATCTGACACCCACAACTTAAAGGAGGAAAGGTTTATTTTGGCTCACAGTTTTAGCCCATGGTTGGCTGGCTCCAAGGCAGAAACAAGATAGCAGAGAGGCACAACAGAGGAAAAGTTGCTCAATCCATGGCAGCCAGAAAGCAGAGAGAAGGACAGAGCTGGGAACAAGAATTCACTTTCCCGGGTCATGCCCCCAGTGACCCACCTCCAATCAGGCTCCATCTCCCAATAGTACATTTAGCTACTGAAGTCATCATTCGGATGACTCCATGACCAGTATAATGCCCCCATGGCCCAATCACACTCCAAACACGTGGGACTTCTGGGGCCAATTAGATCTAAACCTGAACAATCTTCAAAGTCAAGGCCTATTTTAATAATGAGTAGGGTTCCAGGGACCTCAGGTATACATGGATAATTTCCTCATGGTAACCATCATGGCAACATCAGCTGCCCAAGCACCAGTGAAGATATAGGCAGAGAGACAGTCATCTGCAATGTTCCTCTACCTGCAGCCTGCTGGTCAAAGCCAGAGCCAGAGACAAAGAACTCATGTGGGAACTGTCAGGTTCAAATGCACAGAGGAATAAGTCGGGATAGTGACAAATGGATACATACCAGAAGGTTTGGGTCACAACTGTGAAGCTGTGAAAGGAACAGGGGAGACACAGAGGACAGTCATGGGGTTTGCAATGAGGACTGGATAAGACCATGCATTAAAATGCACTTAGCAGCATATAGCAGGTGCTCGGTCTCTGGCTCCCGTCCCTCTCTTCCTTGTAACATATTACTAAAAATGGCCCCAATGTATAATTGTGGTTAATTCATTGATATGCATTGTGCCCAGCCTATATATTCAGACAGACAGAGCTCCGGAGATCCATCAGTAAGAGTTATTTGACGGTTCCTCAGACTCTGCTTGTGGCTTCCTGGTGACCGGGTGGTCTGAGTAGCAGAGTGATCATAGGCGTCTGGGCATGGGAGAGAGGGCCACCTTGGATCCAGGAGTCATGCAACCAACCATTCTTGACAGGCAGGTGCTCGGGAGAAGGAATGCATATGTCTAGGTGGAAATGTACACACATATGCACTTGCACACACAAATATGTTTTTACAGCCTCTTTTGTCAAGGACATAGTAGCTCACTGAGGTTCAACTCCACAGGGAGCAGTTTCACTCATCAGTGTCACAAGCAGCATGCAGGAGGAACACTGAAGGAAGGTGACTCTCTCTCTGGAGGACGCAGTCAACAAGATTTATTGCAAGGAGCTCTCTGACTGGCTCAAAAGTGCCCACACTGCTGCCTCCCAACCAGCCCAGGGCAGGATGTTCTCCTTGGGGTCAGGGTGGCATTTTGTGGACTCCAGGGGCAGAGAGGGATTATTAAGACCACAACTAGGGAGGATGAAGACAGAGAGACCAGCTGTACCCCCGAGTCACAAAACTGGGGTGTGGCGAGGACAATGTGTAACCTAGGCAGTGACTTTTGCCTAGTGCTCCTTCCACAGCCCTCCCCACCACCCTGGTTATTTACTGAAGAGCAGGGAGGCTGATGACAGCTTTCTGGTCTGGCAGGACGATCACCAGTGTTACACTTACTTGCACTGTTCCTGAGAATCACTTGGTTCCTAAATATCATTCGGTGCCATCTTTCCTGGGGCCTGATTCCACGGTCCAAAGTAATTGGGACTTGGTTACATATGAACAAGGAGGAGAAGTTCTCTTGGAAATCTTGACATGACATCCTGTTGGAAACAGACACAGACACACGTCACTAAACGACCGCTGATTGTGTCCCCAGGTGGGGGGTTCCCATCACTTCATGGTACCCTTTCAGGGTCAGCTAATTTCTTCACTGACTGACCTAGCCAAAGGTCAGAGCATCAAGCAACCTTTGGCTTTCTTGGTCCTTCTCCTTTCAGTGGTGGAAAGGACCTTGGCAGTCAAATTCTGGGTGTTTTGGGTCACCTGGCAGGGGCCTTATCAGCCATTTTCCTGACCTGGTAATCTAACTATGAGCCCTATCAGGGCCAGTGGGACCACAGGCAGCCTGTCTCTGTCTGGGTCCTGATGCTGCCATCATGGTGTTCCTTCTCTGAGGCCATTTGCCAGGTCTGCTGTTGAGATCTTTATAAAAACAAAGCTTATTCCACACCTAAAATCCTACCTTCCTTCTACTGTGATGAAAGTAGAGATATTGGGAATATTTTTCCTTTAATATACATTTGTTTTTCTGATTTTTTTTTTTTGGTACTGGGGATTGAACTCGGGACCTTACGCTTGCGAGGCAGGCGCCGGAACCACTGAGCTAAATCCCCGGCCCTGTTTTTTTCTGATTCTTAATAACTTAGACCCAGGATCTTTTTCACATATATTTTAATTTCATTTAAATATGACACTAAGTAAACCAGACAACTCTACAGAGAGATGTCTATCTCCTCCTTTAAGATGTGTGTACACAGATGAACATTTTTTTTTTTAAAACAACTAGTCATGCAGTCTTGCATGACTTCTGGGTGGGGACAGTGACTCCTCACCCAGAATTCCAGACTCAGCTTGGGAGCTGAGCTTCCAGCTTCTCCTTTTGTAAATTCACTGCAGAGGGGACTGCAGAGCTAGAGTCCCATTAGGATGGCATGGAAGGCATGGGCTTAACAACCATGTCGCCTGGTGGCAAAGAAGCTGTTTTCTCCCAAATCTTTGATGCTAGCATTCCCTTTTATCATCAGAATATCTGGGACAATCCAAGACAACTCTCACACCCAGAGGTGGCACAATTTTCTGCCCAAAGTTTGTCTTGGTAGAGAAAACTCTCTCTCTAAGGATTTCTCTGCAATGCTGATTTCCATCATCATAAAAATTTACGGAAAGAAACAGGGATTGAAAACTTGGGCAATAAGGCTTTAAAACTCATTTTTTAAAAGGGCAAATACCAAAACTCGCCATCTTCCTTGATGTGGTACAATTGCTTTTTCCGTGGGTCTTGGGTTTCTTGCCATTCCCGGGACCTACACATGGAGAAACAGATCATAGGGTGGCATGTCTCAGGGAGTTTTATTTCAACCACATGTGGCCTAGCAGGGGTCCTTTGTTTGGCCATTGTTAGTTCCTGGGGACAAGTAGAGTATCATTCTACCTAGGAACAGGGCTCAAGTCATTACATTTCTCTGCTTCAGTTATGCTGATGGCTTCCAAACACCTTTCCCCAGCTTGCTCTTCTTTCCTGAACTCAAGAGAGATTTACAATCCATCCTGCATCTCAAGTCCCAAAGTGACCTCAAATCACCTGTCTTCTGCCTTCTCCTATTGCCCACTGAGAACATGAGAAGTCTCTCTCTCACTAGTCACCAAGTACTTTCACACCCCAATTCCTTCCGTAAATCCCTCTCACAAACTCCACTCACTTCCGTCCCTACTTCTGCTATCCTAGTTCAGGTCACCCTCTTCTCCCTCTTGGACATTTAAACTGGATTATATCATTTCCCTGCTTAAAATATGTCCACGGTTCCCCGTTACTCTCCAGAGAGAGTGAAGTTCAAACTCCTTAAAGAAAACCCCAGCCTCTGCCTACTTCTCCAGCCTGACCTGGGCACTTCCCCGCCCCCAAACTTGCCATTGAATTCCATGCTTCTGCCATCTTGAAAGTCTTCACTTCCTTCAATATCCCACACGCCACCTCTTGGTTTCCATTGTGATGTTCCCTCCATCTAGAACACTCATCTTCCTCTCAGTTTTTGGACCCACTAACTCTTACTTATCTTTCCTCCTAAAGGGCACTTCCTTTGGGAAGCTTTGCTTGACTTCCTACCCCCACCAGCACCACATCTGGAGCGGGATCCCTCCTTTGAGCAACCATAGCTCCCCAGACACTTCTATCTCAGCACTCAGCACTATCTGTAGCTATTGCCTGTTTGTTGCTATCCCTGTCTGGGTATAGCAAGTGCCAATTGAGCTGAGGAGCATTGCTCTCCTTACATCATCACAATGATCAACACACGTCATGTCACATGGTTGGCACACAATGACTTTCTGCCAGTTTCTTCTCGTGTTGTAAATTTCACTGGGATAGTTGTTCCAGAAGCTAGTCCTAGAGTCCGTGAGGAGGCGCCTCCCCCAGCCTGCTCTTTAAAGTGCAGGAACACTGTCAAGGCAATGGGACCCAGAGGCACAAAAGTTTAATGAGATTTTTCTCCATGGAATAGCTTGAATTGAGAGCCTGGTCACCTCTGTGCTAGGATAGCAAGGCAGAGACGTCCATTCAGTCTTCCGGCTTCAGGCTGAGGCAGTCAGATGTGTTATTGTAAAATGGCAATTTTATAATTAAGTGATAATTACATTTTCCGCAGTATGTAAGGGAAAATAAATGTAGTGTAAATCAATACGTTATTGATTCATGCAAGTTTGCCTTTAAGTGTGTGCGCCTGAAATTTCAATTATGGCTGAGATTAGACCATCCAGCTTTCTCCATTCATCTCCATTCCTAAAAAGTAGGGAAGAAATCGACCACTGGCATGGAGACAGTGATTACGCAGTTTGCACCACTTCCTTTCAGCTTGAGAAGGGAGGCGGGTGGGAAGTGGGTGACCCTCAGCTCTCAGCCAAGGGACATGATCCTATGGGGTATGTGTTGCCAGGTCTCTGCCCTGCAGTCACTTTCCTATTCAGAAGTCTTGTTCACATCTGCACCTGCAGGATAGGAATCTAAGCTTCGATGCTGCGAACAGGCCCTCCAACCCCAGCCCACCACCCTCTCTTCTCAGTTCCTCTGCCCAAGGCCAGCTGGGTGGCCCTGAACAGGATAGGGACCCTGAACTGGCTGGGGACCATGGCCTATGCTTCCCCTGCTACCCAGTGTCTCTTCTGAAGGGTGTCATACTCCCTCCCCCAGAGCATCAGTCCCATCTGTGACACGGTTGCTGAATGTGACCACCCAGGGAATACTTCCCTCCCCTGACCTCTGATGTCCCTTGTTGCTGTCACTGATCATTTGATATTTAGCATAGGAAACACAGGAGAAATATCAACTCTTGGGAGTTCATTATCTGTTCCCCTGCCCTAGGGAATCTGTCCTACCTACTGGCCTTCCCTCTGATTCTACCCTCAATAGCCAACCCCCAATCAGGGATTCTGGCCAAGGTTGCTAGGATTTACATCGGAAAAGGTAAGGACCCCCTGGAGGGAAGATAACAAGAGGAAAGGAAAAAGGAGGACAGTAAGACCGACGTTGTCCACGCCTGGTTGGTTCATGGTTTTGTCAGCTCTTTTCCCTTCTGGGGGGCGTTCAGCTGCCCTGTTCTCCAAGGAGCATATGAGGTCACAACCAGGTTTAGTCTACAAACCGACCACCTGCTGTCTTCTCCCTTATTCCCTCTCTTCACCCCCCAGCCAGCACATACACTGGCTGAGTGCCCACGTGTGCCAGGCACACACCAGCCCGGAGGCTGTGGAGAATCGGAGTGGCCCTGCCATAACCCCGCAGCGGGCACCAGGCCATAGCCCAGTGATGTCCGGTCTGAGTACGGCTGCTGCATTGCCTCCCCCAAAGCACTGCGCACACTGTACGGTTTGCCACTGCATGGTGGGCCCTGTGCTCCTGTCTGTGTGAACAAATTGCTTTTCCTTTCCCATCATGCTCTCCCTCAACACTCCTGGCAACAATTCTGTGGCCACCACGTCATGACACTTTGCATGGCTTTGTACAGGACTGCAACAGGGCAGCCTCCTGGGCTCTGAAAGGAGAAACACGTCACTGCCCGCCCCCCCCCCCCGAGACTTCGCAGGATCACCTTCCCATTTTCAGTCAACAAGGGGTGGGGTGCCAGGGGTTAGATCCTGTACCAGCCGGGAAATGCCAGCGCAGGGGTATTAGGGTCCTTGAGATCCCTCCCAGGGAGGCGGCTCTCGCTGTCCACCTCTCTCTCTTGCCAAGTGGAGGGCTGGCTCCTGGCCTGACCCCGCCCTCTTTACCGATCCTGGGAACACCAGCCTTCCGGAGCACAGACATAGGTCTTGTCACCAGTACATCCCTCCGAGCACCCGACTCGCGCACACTTTGGATAGCGAGTACCCAACTGACGCCTGATAGATGCCAGCAGAAAGGCATCATGGGAGCGAGGGCCGCCTCACGGCCACACCCGGCAGGACGGGGCTGCAGTGCTGCCCAAGGCAGGCGTGACAGATGCTGCCTCAGGGACACCGTTCTCTGCCTGGAGCGGTTCTCAGTGACGCCTTTCCCCCAGGGCCCCGGCCATACCCATCTTTCCAGCGCCCTCTCCACTCTGTCTTGCCCCATGGGTTCCACAGGCGGATGATCTTGTCCCAGCCTGTCCCGGACTGAATCTGCAGTGAAGATCGGGAAAGCAAACCGTCAGGGCTCCTGGCTCAAGTCAGCAGAAAGAGGGAATATGAATGCCACCGCTCTCTCCCTCCGAGGACTAATTCAACTCCTGACCTCATTTGGCTGCAGCCAGAAAAAAATTTTTTTGAAAGGATAAAAAAAATCAATGACTCTCTTGCTGCCTGCATGGACTTGGAATGAGATTGAGGAGGAAATGGGCCTTTCTTCTGCTCAGCCCCTTGCAGGAGGTGCAAGTTCATCAGGTTGTACGGCAGGAGAATCTGGGCAAGCTCAGATTTAAGGGCAGATAAACAGCAGGGCTGCTGCTTCTCGTTGCAGAGGAGAGAGCTTTATGGGTCCCCCGGCCCAAGCCCTGCCACAGGCAGCATCTCTATCCCAGGGAAAGAGCCAGCTTCCCTGCCAGCAGCTGGCTGGGAGCTGTTGTGAGAGACCAGAGCTGAGGAGGCCAATGTGGGCAAGACCAGGGCAGCCTGGGCACTGAGATAGCCAAGGGTAGCCCACCGCATCCTGCATCTGTGCAGACACCTCTGCGTAAGAGCAGGTGACCTGCGGTGGCCTCAACTCTCCCTCCCTCTCTTCCTCCTTCCCCCTCATCATCATCACTTGCTTCAGATGTTGAGGTTGGCACTGCTGCTCCTCCACTCACCTCAAGCCAGAGGGCAGGGCAGTGGGGAAGTTACAACAGAAAACAGCAAAGCCTTGCAGCTCCACTTCCGGAGGCCCGGAGCCCTCAGTCTGGAGAGGGGAATTAACTATGATTGAGTTGTAGCTGGGCTATTGATCTGTGCTGATGCTGTGTGAGGGGACAGAGGGGTGAGGAAGGGAGGAGTCCACTCGGAGGCAGAGCTCAGAGTTGGTCGCCAGGGAGCTTGCCTTCCGCCTGCAGTTCTCGGGGGACATGTTCATCCCGACCTTGCCTTGCAGAGGAGGAAACAGCATCAAAGAGGTAAAGCAACTTTCCCAAGGCCTCAAAGTGGTAGAGGTAGGATTCTGATCTGAGCCACTGTTACTTTGCAAATCTCAGGCTCTGGGGTTTTTTTTTTTTTTTTTGGTACCGGGAATCAAACTCAGGTCCTTGCGCTTGCGCAGTAGGCGGCGAAACCACTGAGCTAAATTCCCGGCCCAGGCTCTGACTTTTGGAATCGGCATGGAGAGAGGCCCCTCCCTGGATGTGGCGGTGGCCTTGGCCTCAGACACAATTCTTGAGCCCTTGGCTGAGGCCTGTGTGGTCCCCAGCAGAGCACTGCCCTGAAGGAGCAACAGCGTCATACAAGGGCCCAGAAATATGGAAGGTGCTCCAGCTTCCAGTGCCACCCCACAGGACTCTCCGGGCCTCTGCCCACCCCAGGCCTTGTACACAGTTTATCACTAGCTCCCAGCACCTGGCGGAGGCCACCAAGCAGGGACATGAGAAATGGTTGTCCGGTGGCCACAGAGCTTAATGAGCCATCTTCAGTGCCCAAGGGATAGACGGAGGTCCAGTTGGGCAAAGCAAGGAAAATTCAAAGGGGCTGAGAGCAGAGCTAAATGAGGCATGCATGTAAGCTCTGACCCCCTTGCCCAGGGGAGTCACTGCTGGAGCTAGGTGCATAATAAAAAATGCCAATTTCATTTATCTTCCTGTCTGTGTCCTGCCTGGAGGGAGGATGAGCAGATTAAAAAGCATACTGCATTTGTGGGCTGGTTTAATCCTAGCAGTTGTGGCTCAGTGTTAGAACCAGCCCCCACTCTCTGGAGGAGAAATCTTCAGCCACATCAAGTTCCTGGGCCCTGGTATAACTGTGACTGTTATGACAGTGCTGTCCTGGTGATCACGTGGGGCTCGGTCAGGGGCACAAGGGTCGCATTCCTATTCCCAGTGGCTCTCTCAGAAAGGGTGTCACTGGGCAGGCGGTGGCCCCAGCGGTTCACCCTAGAATGATGGCTCCTCAGATGTACACCCCTGAGCACAGCTCCGCTGGCCATTAGTAGTTACTTCTAGAACAACATGGTTTCTTGGCAGACGGTAGATTAAAACCAAGCAGTATTTGTAAATACAGACCTTCTCAGAGCCTTTAACTATTCATATATACCACGAGTCTCCAGGAAGGGGAAACGATGAATTGGATTTTCAAAAGGAATTTGGAAGCCTGTTTTCACAGAGGACCTCCCAGCTTAGCACTCCTGAGAGCACATTCTATGGTGTCAGCTGCTCATAACGGCGGGAGGGAGGGGCCCTACAGGACATGTGGCCTTGATCACCTGTCAGCCCAGGTCAGGAGCTCTGTTCAGAGCACTCCCTCATCCCATGTCAGCACAGGTATCACGAATCAAACACAGCTCTTTCCCCAAATCTGCAAGCAGTGCCAACGTCTTATAAACACAGGAATCCAGACAGTGCAGCCAGTGATCAAAGCTGGCCAGTGAGATAAAGCCTGTCTGTCCCCACTTGTCCACAGGTGTGACAATGGCTTCGTCCCCACTGAGAATTCAGGGACGGGGTCGGGAGGTGGACCAGAGGACCTGGAGCAGCTGTCTTGGGCTCACGGGTAGAAGCAGCCTTGGGTCACCTGCTTACCTGCTATGAACTCTGTCATAAGTGCCTATGTGCGGGAGTATTTTTCTCCTATCAGATTAGCTTGTATGTCACAAATGAAACCATCCAGAGTCAGCTAGATGGTTCATTCTATCTCTTTTTGGGGTGAAGCCTGCCATCTAGCTTGACACTGACACTTGAGCTCACTTCAAGGAGAGGAAGGACTCCAGAGGGCCCCTGGGGAGGAAGTTCATCCAGAAACTTCTGGACGAATGGGTACAACTGAGGCCACCCTTGGAGGAGGCCACAGAGGGGATGAGGGTGGTAATCCCTAGTGTCAGCTTTGTTGGGCTTATAGAGGAATGTGCTTCTGGCTCCTGTTTAGAGGAGCAGGAGCATCAGGCAGGACCCTGGAGAGAGATGCCAGGGCAGCAGCCAGCCTCACCTGCTCAGCGCCCGTCACCGTATAGGCGTGCTGGCTCACCAGCCCGTTCTGCATCACCTCGGACCTGTCTGTTGGCTGCAAAGGAGAAAAGCAGATGAGCACTCACCACACGCTCGGAGACTCTCTGGTAAGATGCAGAAAGACGGCTCAGAAAGCACCTGAACCAGTGGAGCCCTGGTCCTTTGAGGAGGGCATATGCATTTGAACCCCTTCTGGAAAGACAGAGGTAGGCAGCGAGCAGTGTGTGAGGCTCTGGTATTTCAAGACCAGAAGGCTACCACTCGACTGATGGAGCTCACCAGCTCCTGAGGACCCAGGCTCCTCGCTCTGCCAGCCACTAATTATTAGCCAGGCACAGTGCACAACCTGTCTACCAGGTGGCTTGCAGGATTCAGGGATATGCAGAGCCCCTGCCCCGAGGATTGGGGCTCTAAAATGCGCCTGCACGTTCTGGTGTCATTTCAGATTAGGGAGGTGCACACATTTAAAGAGTTCAGGAAACATCCTGGGGAGACGGAGCCAGATGTCTCAGAACAGACTCACATAATGTGGAGGGTCAGGCAAGCTTTCCAAAAGGAGACAAGTTGCCCTTGTGCTGCTGTTAGGGTCAGCAGGAATCGGGGGTTTCTGTAGAATAAGGGCAAAGCACAAAGCAGCTCCCGCCATCAGAAGAAGCCATTGCCACCGCTGCAGCCCTTCATTACCCCCTTGGTAATGGTGGGCCTGGTGGCTCCAAGTCACGGAAAAGAAGAAAATGAAGGCTCTGGAGTTGGTGGATTTGAACCCTGCTCAGTACTTTTTGGCTGTGTGACGGGGAGACATTACTGAACCTCTCTGGCCCCATCCCCCCCTCCGGGAAGTAAATTCCGCACTCCCATATCCGGGGGAGGGAGGCTGCTGTAGCATTCCATGAAGGCAAAGCCCACCCTAGGAGCTCCAGGGGGGTCCCTTGCCTTTCTCTCCCTAGCTGGGTGCCCTTGGTTGTCCACTTTGGGGTAAGCAAAGCCTCAGACAGTGCAGTGGGCTCCTGATCTACTTACCCCCGGGGGGGTGGCACAGGCCATCAGGGAGCCAGCCTCGGCTGCCGTCTTCACCATCATCAGCAGGCTGGAAGGAGAGGCATGCAGGTTGGCAGTGGTGACCACCCCTCCTGTGAGGTCCACCAGGGCGTCAGGGAGGTAGCCGTAGTGCAGGTGAGAATAGGATCCCTGAAGTCTGGGGAGGAAGAGTCCAGGTTAACCCTTGGCTCTCTGGGAAGGGGGACTACCCACTGACCCTCTGCTGCTTCCCACGTGAGGGACTTCTTGGTCTACTCCGGGCCACGGCCACTCTGGAGGAGAGAAAGACCACAGCGAGGCCCTCAGAAAATACTTGGATGCTATTTTGATAGCTGTTGCTCTTGCTCTGTCTGAAAACATGCGAAACACATGGGTAGCCCATGAGGTACCATGCCAGGTATGTGGTCCAAGGCAAGCAAGATCCGACCCCTTCTCTCAGAGAGTTCACGGTCAACAAGCCCAAGGCCTCCTTGGCCACAGCAGTCTCTGTCCTCACTCTGGGTGGGCCCTCACCCCAGCCTCTGTTTTCAGGAGGGCCCTGAAGTGGCTCTTCTAAAGTTACCCTCAGATCTCTTTCCCAAAGCACCTCTTTCCACCTTCTCCTGGCTTTAGGCCTTCTGCTTCGGTATTTACACCCCAGGAAATGCCTGCCCTCATTGTTCTTATTTTATCTTCCTCCCCTTTCTGCCCCAAACCTCACCCCTGTAATAGTTAAGCTGAATTGTGTCACCTTGATTGGCTTGGGAGGCACCCAACCCAGGGGATTAGTAAAGCACATTTTTGGGGATGTCTGGCTGAGTCACAGAGGGATGGTCTTAGGGTCTATGTCTGCTTTCTTGCTCCTTCCTCTCTGGAACTTTCCCTTACTCTGCTTCCCAGCTACCATGAAGTGAGCAGTTTTGTTCCATCTTGCCCTGTTGCCATGATGTTACTCTGGGAGCCAGTCAACCATGGACTGAATCTCCTTACAATGTGAGCCAAACATGAGTGCTGAGCGTGGTGTCCCAGTGAGGAAATGCTGTCTAATACACTCACCTGTCACGGAGTATCTGGGTCCAGCTCCTGGCCTCCTCCAAGGAGACCGCTATCCCTGGCCAAGGGACTGAATGCTCTCAGTTCTCTTTGCTCCTCTGAGAATAAGACCACAGTCCCTACCTCACTAGGAGGAGCCTGCATTCCTGTCCCTGAGGGCCAATAGGGGCTAAGCCTTTCATAGGGGTGGGCAGGGTAGGGACCTCCTGCCATGGCTTTTTCCTGTACTGAAAAATCACATGGGAGTCAAGGGCCTGGGGGACCCTAACTGTGGCCTCCGACGTGGTCTTGGCTGTGGGCAAGAACTTTCCCTGCCCCGTCCTTTTCATTTCACCTGGAAATGGCGGGGGGAGATTGGATTCCTCTGGAGCCCTTGGACATCCTTTCTCTCCCTGCTCCTACTTCGATCATTCTCTCCTTGGGGGACCACTCTGGTTCTAGCACATTCACTCCAGCAAATACATAAAGGACACTGTTAGAAGGACACTGAACCATGCACAAATGTACCAGATGGTTTAGAAAGCCAGTTATTAAAGAAAGCTAAGGCAGGTGTGATGGAACACACCTATAATCCCGGCACTTTGGGAAGCTGAGGGAGAAGGATCACAAATTTGATACCCCAGTGGGCAACTTAGTGACTTAGTGAAATCCTGTCTCAGAATAAAAAATACAAAAGGCCTGGCTGAGTATGTAGCTCTTGGTGAAGACCCTAGGTTCAGTCCCTAGTACCATCAAAAGGAAAGAAGAAAAGAAGGAAAGGAAGGAAGGAAGGAAAGAAAGAAATGAACTACTTAGGATCCTAGGACAAAGGGCAATTCTGCAGCTATTACCACATGACAGGTTTATCTAACTCATTTTAAAACTGATTTTGAAACTGGTTCTGACCTTATCTTCTGCTTTGCCTCTCTCTGACCCTGGTGGAGACTGAGATCAGACTCTTGGGCGTGTTTGCTTAGTCAACCACAGAGCCTCCCTTTGACCATGGTTATTTATGCTCTGTGGGGTCTGAATGCTTTACTCCTGATGTCATACGTGTCTTCTGGCTCCTGTTCCTAAATTAGGGTTTGCTGGAAATACTGAGGTTTACGAGGACCGCGGTTCCAGAACCCACTGCAAGCCCCACTAGTATGTACTGTGACGGCTCTTTCCTCTGATACACTCAGGGCCCCTCCTGGCTTCAAACACAGCTGTGCTGCAGTCACTCCAGGAAGCAGCTGGGGGCTCTGTACCCTCCCTCACACTCACGATCTCAGTGGCTCTGGGTCTCTTCTGAGGCCTTGCACCCACACCATTCTGCAGTCCCCACAGAGACACCCTATACAACTAGCACCCCCCCCTCTTGTCTTCCAGAACTTTCTCTCATTGTCTATCTGCAGTGCCCCCAAAGCCAGTTCCAGCAGCAGCTGGGTGTCTTGACAAGGAGCTGTCTTTCTCCTTTGCACACATGAGCTCACAGACCCGCGGATGCTTCAGGAACACGGCAACTATTCTCAGCCCCCTTTGCTGACAGGAAATGGGGAAGGAGAGCGAGAGAAGCACGCTCCCTGCAGCTGTCACTATGCCTTGACACCTGAACCCAGGAATTCTCAGAGAGCCTTGTCCTTAGCCCTCAGCTTCAGCCTCCTTCTGGGAAAATGTCTGTCTGCCTGCAACGATAGGAAAGAGGGAAGAATCCAGTTGTCTAAATCTGAACCAGAGAAGATATTAAAATACTGCATTTCTTACCTGCAGAGATTCTACAAAGAGTAATATGCAGCCTGCTAGATCTTATCCCAGATCTGCTCTCTACTTTATGACAACGGGGTGGTGGTGGGGGAATCCCCACACGTGATTTTCTTTCTCCCACTTTTGACTGATTTGACCAATTCATTTCCAGACTCCCCAGCTGCAAGGATAATTGAAAGTCTGAAGTCTACATATGAATTCCACTGCCCCACACCCTTGGGGAAAGAGGTCCTACGCGTGGACAGATGGGCCCTCCACACTTGTGCCAGGCACCAATTTCTAAAGGAGGCAAGAAGACAGATCCCTCTCTGCAGCACTGACTGTATCAAGAACTGGTGGTGCCATCTGCCTTGCAAGCACAAGGTCCCAAGTTTGATCCCTGGAACCCGCCCCCCGCCAAAAAAATGAATGGGTGGAACAGTATACAACTAGGAGGACAGTTCCCACCCTGGCTTGGCCTTGGGCACTGTGTGACCTTGAGCAAATCATTTCACCTCTCTGAGCCTCAGTTTCCTCATCTTTCACAGAAGAAGGCAGACATCAATGTTTACAGAGGTTCCCCCAGCTCTGAAATGCTGTCATTCTACTTAATTCACTCCTGCATTCTGCAACTTCCTTCTTTGCATCTGTGTGGGCAAAGCTTTTAAACAGCTTTAATACTTTGAAACGTTTTATCCTCTGCTTGATTTCTTTAGGCAGTAGAATGTGGATTCTGGGTCTACTTTCCCATTTCTTTTCAAGCTGAATGATTGCTTTAGGTCAGCTGTTAACAAAATGGGGTCAAAGTCATCATTTCATTCCGCAAGCCTTCTAATACTCCCAGCGAACTTCCATGCTACCCCCTTTCACATAAGGAGAAAACCAGGCCCTACCGTGACGAGGGTGGGATCCATAAGGGAAAGATAATGGCAGTGTTTGTGTGACTAGCTCAGGAGTGAATTAACCTCCCTAGACATGTGCACGGGTTCAGCAACCCTGGCTGTAACCTGGGCTCCATTCTCCAAAACTAATGAATAACTCTTTCTGACACGGGGACCTAGCCATAACCTTCAACTTTTACAAGTTGCCTCAAAAGAAAGTCCACATGAAGATATTTTGAAGCCCTTTGCGGTTTAGATTGTGACTTCCAGAAGGACAAGGACAGGGTGGACTGTGGTTTCCATCCCATAGGCCCCAGTCCAGTCCTGCTTAACAGGGTCCCCTGGTCAGGAGAGCACGGACTGGGCATGTTCAGGGTAACTGCAGGCACCTGCTGTCTCCTCGCTGCTTGGAGGCTTAGCTTCCTGTTCATGAAATGAGTGTCTGGTTAGGATGCTCTTGGAACAATCTGATCCTTCTCCCTGCTCATTCTCCCCAAGGGTGTGGTCCTCTGTGTGGTCTGTAGGCCATGACTCCTCCCACAGTCTTATCCTGTTCCTCCTCCTCCTCTTCTTCCTCTTTCCTTCTCTTTCTCCTCCTCCTTCTCCTCTTCCTCCTTCCCCTCCCCCTTCCTCTCCTTCTCCTCCTTCTCCTTCTCCTTAAGCTTCTCCTTCTTCTTGAGACAGGGTCCATCAAGACAAACTCACAGCCAGAAGGAGTTTACTGCTGAGGGTTTTAAGCATTAGGGTATAGGGTGGGATTGAGGGGTTTGTCTAAGGTTTTGCCTCTACCACTGAGAGTTTGTGTTAGAATTGCATAGTCAAGACATGGTAATGAGGTGTTGGCCAAGGGTGATGAAGACCACTGGGCACCCAGAGACTTTATTTTGTATGAGGTGAGCTTCCTGCTTCCTTTCTCCCATTGTATTTAGACCTGGATGCCCTGACCTGGGTTGAAGTTTAACTCAAGAAGGTGGATCTCACTGAGAAGTAGTCTTAAAGGCTTCTCTCTCTGTGAGATCTCTTAGCTACCTCCTGCCTCCGTCCCTTCTGGAGGAAACTGTCCCTTCCACAGCTCCTGCCCACAGGGGTTTTGTGGTCATTTGACGCTAGCCATGGCTGCATGAGCCAATGGGGACCAGACCAGAGCTTGGTCAGTTTGATTCTTGTCCATTGGAAGTGGATTCAGATAAGGAGTGGTGGATGGAATAGAAGCAGCAGATGCCAAAGCCAAAGGATGCAGAGAGAGGCTCTGAGGCCAAGCTACTTAAAAGAGAGTCACAAGAAAGAGGGTCCTGTGGAAGGTGAAGTTAGCAGGAGTTTGCAGAGATGGGATGGGGCCAAGGCAGGCTGCTGGGCAGTAGAGGGGCTGACACAGAGAAGCTAGCCCCACCTGTATGGTCTTCCAGGTCCCGAGGTCAAGACCTTGTCAGAGCCCCACCCTCGGACTCTGGAAGATTTCATCACCAATTACCCCTCCTCCATATTATCATTGCCAGGTCCTGCTCTTGTTTGTCTTATCTTTCTGTCATTTCATTTGATTATCATTTTCCTTCCTTTCCTTGTCTCTCACCCTCACCTGTTCCCATCATTTCATCCTGTTCTCCTCCCACCCCACCCATTTCCGGACGTGTAATGTGTGCCTTTTTATTCCTATGTGTTCTTGTAAAATGCACACTGCACTCACAGAGCTTCCATCTCCATAAATAGGTCTGTGTTTTATTGCTCAGCATCAGGATTCTGAGGACAACTTGGGCTGCTATGCGGAGACCAAATCTGTGCTTTCTAACTGTTGGGTGTCTCTCCGCTGGGGTGTCCTGCCCCATGGTAGCTGTGCATGCTGGTGATGGACCCTGCACGCCACCCCAGCACCATCAGGAACAGCTTCGGGCCTGGCCCTGAGGGCCCCTCTGACAGTGTCATTAGCAGATGTGAGATGTGCATGTAACTAATGTAACTGATGTCATAGGGCCTTCAGAAGACTGCCTGGGACACACTCCCTGTAGGATTGTTTGAGGATTCCTGGAACTCCATTTCCTTGCAAATACTTGGCATTATTCAGCCGCTTACCTTTTAAAGTCAGATAGGGATAAAAGGATGTTTTATCACTCTATTTACATTTTTCTGGCTATGGAAAATCTGAGCACCTCTTCATTACCTGTAAGGGTCTTTACAACAGTGCCCTCTTCCCCCACACATGTGTGTGGATACCTTTGCATGCATCCAGTTGAGCAGCCTGACAGTGTCTGACCCAGTGCCTGGCCTGTGGTGAAATGTTCAGTAAACATCTGTTGAGTAAAAGCCACCCAAAAGACCAAGTGAAATACATGAATTGGGATGCTTACAAATTTTTGAGTTGTCAGCCTCAGAAGCCAGTCCCTGAGCATAGTGTGTTGGCCAGATAAGAACAGACAAACCTGGACTGCACCCACACACGAATGCAACTTCACCAGTTACACCAGCGCCTCAACTTCCTGGAATTCAGTTTGAAGTATCACACCAAGGCCTTTGCTGTTGGGCCTTCTGCTTGCTCTGCAGAATCCTGTCCATCCCTCCAGCCTTGCTTAGGTGTCAGCTCTTCCTGTAGCCTCAGCCTGACTCTGGGGGTCAGGGAACCAAGGTCATTTTTGACTAAGATATTGTACAGTTGACCCTCTGTATCTGCAGGCCCTGTATCCATGTTTCAACTGGCTGCAGATGGAAAATATTGGGAAAATTATGTCTGTACTGAGCATGTTTTTCTTGTCATTATTTCCTAAACAATACAACAGCCATTTTCATAGCATTTACATTGTGTTAGGTATTACATGTAATGCAGAAATGAGTTCAAGTATATGTATAAATTATATACGAATACTAAGAAATTTTATATAAGGATCGTGAGCATCTGTGGATTTTAATATCCATGGGTAGGTTCTAGAACCACTCTCCATCAGATGCCAAGGACAATTGCATTTCAGCTGGACTCTTACACTAGCATAACAACAATACCACCTATGCATAGCTCTACCTGGCCCCTACCAGGCCCACACTTGCTATGTGCCTCAAGGTCCCTTCTGATGGCCATAACACTGACCCTTACACACAGTGGTTGTTCACTGAGGAGGCCTAGCCAGGTGGCAAGGACTCTCATGTTCCAGGGATAATGCTTGCATAAAGGAGGACTACTAAGGGCTGCAGGGCCCGTTGGGAGGGAGCGTCCGGGAGGGCAAGACTCTGGGCAGCCGGAGCTAGCATTGAAACTCTGGGCAGAGAGGCAGCCCCATACTTACTTGGCATAGGCTTTCTCCAGCAGGCAGGGCCAGAACTCTTGGTTGTCTTTTCGAGGATGCACAAAGAGGCATTCCTTGCCCACAACAGGCAAGCGGTCATCAATCACCACGTCCACCCACTGACCACACTGCCAGAACTGGAAGAGAGACAAACAGGTCTTAGTGGAGTTGGGGCAGGAGGGAGTGTTTCCAGGCCTCCAACCTCAGCCAAAAGATCTCCACAGTTGCAACATGACCTCCATGACACAACAACAAACTAGATCCAGAACAAAATCCCTGCTCAGTTTACCAGCCAGGGGACAGGCCTGTCATCTCCACTGGCAGATGGAGAAAATGAGTGAGCCAAGGCAAATATGGGCAGGGAGGAAGGAAACTTGGGTTTGACTTTGGTACTAACTTGCTTTGGCAAGTCCTTTGTGGACTCTCCAGGTAGTTCTCAGATACAAAGGGAAGCAGAGGGAGCAGCCACTGAATAGCAAGGAGAGCAGTGGGTTATAATGGGGAGGAGAGCCTGCCAGAGCTGAGGGCTGGAGGGAGTGCCAGGATTTGGCCAGGTGGCGAGGACATAGGGAAGGCGTCCCAGGTGGTGAGGACCACATGGGCAAGGGCCTGGAGGCAGAGTGATGTGCACGGCTCAGGGGGGCTGAGCAGCGATAGTCTCACTGGCACTCCTGTCCTCATGTCACGCTGGCCCTACCATTACAGCAAAGCAATGAAACTGGCTGGCACTGCCATCGCTAAGAGTGCAAATGAGCCAGATGTTCCTCTCCAAAACAGATTGTTTTCATCTTTAGCATTCAGCTCTAAATGGTTCACCGGGGGACACTGCCAAATGAGGAACATTCATTACAAAGGCCAGCCTTTTGAGTTTCTCTGCTGGCATCCCCTGTGCTGGGGAAGCAGCAAGGCTGCTGGCTTCAGGCCTGGGCCTCAAAGGTAAATTTCCACTAGGTGGGCTGTGCTAAAGCTGGGTGCACGTGGCCTCTTGGGCTTTTCCACAGCTGGATGGCCCAGACATTGGGCGGTCACGGCCAGCTGAGGACATGTTTGCAGAGAAGAGATGGACACTGAGTCGGGAGGTCAGCAAAGATGAAGGAAAGAAGATATCATCACAGCCATTAATGAGCCAGAGCATTGCAGCTGTGGACTTCTGTTCCTGCTGCAGTGAGTAGTGAGTGAGTGGCATGGTGAGGCTGCGGCAGGAGGGAAACCAGAAGTGGTCTCCAAAAGCATCTAAGATGTCCCAGGTGCTGGATGCTTTTCAGAGCACTACCCAAACCCACAGTGATAAGAAGAGGTCTTCAGAGGTCAACACTGCAGCTGCTTCTGGGGAACTGGGTGACTTTCTTTGTTACCCAAAAGGACAGAGTGTGTCCTGCCTGGGCTGCTGGTTGTCATAACTACCTAAGTTGCTCCTACCAATGCTGGAATCCCTGTGGGGATCCTAGGCACGGGCTCACTGGATTCTCTAGTTCAGTCCTCAATGTGGTCCTTGGACCAGCAGCAGTGGTGGCGGCTCCAGGGTGCCTGTCAGAAGACCTAGCATGCAGGTAGGAAGTGAACACAGGGTAAAGATGGAGGCCCAGCAATGAAGAAGAAAACAGCTGAGCAGGAGGCTGGTCTTCAGATATAAAGGCTCACTGCATTCCAGGCAAGATTGTTTCCTTTTTTTTTTTTTTGGTACCGGGGATCGAGCTCGGGTCCTTGGGCTGCGAGGCAGGTGGTGAAACCACTGAGCTAAATCCCCGGCCCTCAAGATTGTTTCTTAAAAGATACACATCTGTACCAAGAAATCAACCAATAACAAATGCTGGTGGGGCTGTGAGGAAAAAGGAACCCTGCTCCACTGTTGGTGGGAGTGCAGACTGGTGCAACCACTGTGGAAATCAGTGTGGAGACTCCTCAAAACACTAGGACCAGAGGTTCCATTCGACCCAGCTATTCCCCTTCTGGGCATCTTTCCAAAAGAATTAAAAGCATCATACCACAGTGATGTACACCCCTGTTCACAGCAGCACAGTTCGTAATAGCTAAATCTTGGAAACAACCCAGACGGCCATCAACAGATGAATGGATAAAGAAGATGTGGTATTTTAATACAATGCAGTACTACTCAGGCATAAAGAAGAATAAACTTGAGACATTTATAGCTAAATGGATGTACCATACTAAATAGAGACCATACTCTTAAGTGAACTAAATCAGATACACATGTGTAACTATCACGTTATTTCTCTGGTGTGAGAAACCGAAAGTATAAATAAGGACCCAAATGTATAATAGATACTGTGAAACAGGAAGAAAATGTTCAAATGGGAAGGGGCACAAGGAAGGGGGAGAGGGAAAGGAAGGAAGGGAAAAGAAAAAAATGAGAAAAGAAGGATGAAATGGAAACAAAGCTCCTGTAGATAAGAAGGGAAAGAGGGGTAGAAGAGGGGGAGGGGAATGGGAAAAATGTGAATCAAGCTATATCATCCACGGGTACAAATTCCATACAATGAATATGATCATTATGTATATCTAAATTGCACCAATAAACTGATTTTTTTTAACCCTTGATTGTTTTATTCACAAAACATAAGGAAGACTTACATTCCTTTTCTGTTGAGACTTTTCTCTCCCAATAATTTTATACGGAGGCCCTTGAATGTATCAATTATAAAACATGTTAAACGAGAAACATTTTAAAAATTTACAAATACTAACCAGTACGTTATACAAGAGCTCTATAAAGTTCATCAATGTAAAAAAAATACCCTGAACTGAATATAAAGCATATTCGGTTTATGTTATTTTGTAGAGTTACTTTTCTCTTCTCTGGTCCTGATTTTTCTTTGACTCTCTGGAATGTTCAGAGCAGTGGCTAGATTTTTCCTGCCATCTCTCAGCATAATTCTGATACCTGTCTTCCTCACTTTTAGAGCTGGCATGTTTTCTATTCTTCTCTCTTGACTTTGATCTATCTCCTCTAGAATTTTCACTGTTCTGATTTCGTAGTCTGCAATTCTCATTTTCCAAAAAAAGTTTCTTCTCTCTTCTCTCTTCTCTCTTGGATCACCATGCTTATTTTCCCAATCCATATGCATTTCTTGGTCTCAGTTATTCCCAACCTTACTGTAACTGTTCCCTTCGGAGAGGATGCTCCTGTCTGATGTGTGCTTTGTTATGGGATCTCTTGAATTTGGACTTCTGTGTTTTTCTGATCTTCTTTCTCTCTCAGACCTTGTTTCTTGGGGACTTTGTTCTGCTCTTCTTTCTTCCTGTTTCCTGTCATTTGTTTGTTGGTTCCTGACTGATTTATCTCCATCTTTACTTCTGGTCTTCTGTTGTCTCTTCTTTCTCATATCTTTAGCTGAGCCAGAGCTATGACCACTGGTGGACAAAGAGTCGCTATCTTCACTGGAAGAATCTGAACTGCTCTCACTGCTGTCAGAATCAGAGTCAGAGGAGCTAGACTCTGAAGAGGATGATGCTGAAGACGAAGGGGTCAGGGAAGACTTACTTTGTTCAACATCTGGTTTCTGTGCCACGATAATTTTTGAGATGCTCACACAATTCATCTGTTAAACCTCCAAGACCCATAGAGGTAAAGAAGTTGGCAAACTGAGTACTTCTTGGATCATCTCGAGGTAATAGTCCTTCAAAGAATGGCTGCAGGGTTTCATCCTTTTAATCTTGCATTAAGTTTAGGAAGACCCATGTATTCACACAGCTCCTGGAAGAATATTTTGACAAAAATTCTACTAGATGATGTAGTGGTTTCTTTGCTCAGTTTTATACATTCAAGAACACTCCATGGAAGTGAATCAGGGTATAAGAGGTGAGCAAACATCTTGGCAACATTCCTCAATTTGTTTGTTTCTAAGCGATGGATGTTATCATACTGTTCTTTGAATATACTTTCGAAGGATTCCATGTATTCTTTTTTCAGCATGCAAAATTGGCCAGCTAGCAAGCCAAAAAATTTCTCATATGTCCTTTGTTGGGCACAGCAATCATGTATCATATTGCAGAGTTCTTTTGTTTGACTTTCAGGAAATTCCACTTTCAGCAATTTGTGAGCACATTCTTCAAAATCTAAACTTGACTGAATAGCAAGATATATTGTACAATGAAATGAGACTAGATTAATTTTGGTTTAATTTATCATGAATAGTTACTTTTTGTCCTTCATCTTCTTCTCCTTCTTCCTCCTCTTCTTCCTCTTCCTCTTCACTACTTCTTGCATCTTGGTCTGTATTTGAATCGCTATCTCCTTCATCAAGTATTTCTTTCTCAATAGCTTGTACTTTTCTTCATTCTCCATAAAATTAGGATCCATCCTGAAAACATTAAAAACATCTTTGGGGTTATAGTTATCCTCCAAAGGGAGCATATGGATGAACTGATCATCTTCTTCAACTAAGTCAAGGCCTTCCAGGATGACTGGGTGGTCCTTGAATCCATTCTTCCGTACAGCCAACATCACTTCAGTCATATACTGAACTCTTTTGTCAATTTCAGACTCATGCAGAATGTTTCGAAGGCATTCAAAGATAGCATTGATTCCTCTTGGGGACACTCATGTTAATTTGAGGCCACATTCCTTGAGAAAACCAATAGCCACCTCAACGCTGTCATCTGTGGGTCTTTCCAGGAGCAAGGTGAGCATCTCTAAGCACAAAACTTCATGTGCCACATTGTGGTCAGTAAGCTGTGCCACAAATTTTGAAGCAGTCGGACAATGTTGCTTATCATTTCTTCAATAGCCTTTTTGAAAATCAAGAATTAACTTCTTGAAGGTTAATTCTCCAATTTGTGGAAATTTTGAGTTGATAATTACCACCAATGCTGCAAAAACATGTGTGAAGATTGGAGATGCACTCTGTGCTTGTAAAACAGATCTGGACAGCGGTCCTCTTCCTCTGACTGTATTTTCTTGAAGAAGCTCCTGGATACAAATACTTACATAAGAAATGTTGACTTTGTCGATAAGACCATTGATTGGCTTCTTCAGGGCCCCCAGCTCATCCTCTGGTATGCTAAGCTGTTTTTGTCTGTAATCTGTTCTTACATCATCCTGAGCTTTGCAGGAGGAATATGTGCTCCACCATGGCGAGTAAGGAGAGGATCCAGCTCGTCTTTCTTCTTTGAAGTAGGTTCATCCTGAGCCGAACTCTGGTTTACTACTTCTGGGCTGCTTCTCCCCAGAGGTGGAGATTTCTGGGATCATTTCCCTATCCATTTCTCTCTCTCTGTCTGCCTTTTTCTCGGACCCTGCTTCTGTCTTATGCAGAGGAGGTCCCCTGGTAAGAATTACAGCTTTCTCTTCTGTCATGACCAGAAGAATGTCTGATCTTTGTCACACTACTTTTCATTCTCTGCTGTCAGCTGCTCTGATAAATCAGACTCCTCAAGTTGGTCCAAGTTACAAGTACTCAATGGTTTGTGGGGTTGTTTTTTTTTGGTACCGGGGATTGAACTCGGGTCCTTGTGCTTGCTGCAGCGGGCGGCGAAACCACTGAGCTAAATCCCTGGGCCTACAAGTACTCAATGGTTTGAATCCCTTGACAGTTTACTTTTTCTGTCTGTAAACTCTAAGACTCCACCATGCTGCCGTTACACTGGCTGTGCCTAAACTTAATGGTTTCTAAAAAGGCACACATCTGGATATATTCTAAAGAAAATTGAAGCATTCCAGAGAGAGAGAAGCTCTCGGAGATTTGCAATTTGAAAGTACATGCTACATACAAAATCAAAAGAATAGATTAATAATGGAGTTTTCTTCTGCAACTTTGAAGCTATAAGACAATGGGACAAGGGGAATTTTGAGGAAAAGGAATGTGATCCAAGAATCCTACAGGTAGCCAAAATGCCATTTGTGAGAGTAAATGAAAAACTCTCATGCAGCCTGAGAAAAGTATGCAAAGAACTACTACTATCTAATGAAAGATAAATTTGAACAAGGAAGGCAGGAGAGGTAAAGGAGAGAAGCAGTAGTAAAGAATGAGTTTAAGCATTCTTTTGGTAAGAAAGATATCTGTAACGCTGAAAATGAAATCGGTAATAAAGACATAAGGAAAAACATGAGAGGGAAATGTAATAATAGGAAGTCAGAGTGACAAGATGAATATCAGATAAAGAGAAATTCAAGGCCAAAGGTACTAAATATAACAAATCCAGATATTATGCAATTTTTATTTTAACAAAAAGTCAGCAAGATCATAAACTATTGGCCCTCAAAGGACATAACAGAAAAACATGCAGAAGTAGAATATCCAAAAGCCAAAGATGTCTCCAGATATGACTGTGAGGATGAACTTCGATTGTTGTTTTAGTATTTTATAAACCAAACAGACAAATTAAGCCAAGATAAAACAGACAATTGGAGATAATACCAATTGCAAATCAGAAAGCCTAATTTAATAAATAAAACTCATGACCACTGGAAAATATACATTATTCTTGTGTATTCATGCTATTAGCCAAAACTCATAGACTTGACCATAAATAAAACTACTTTAATAATTCCCCTGAGTGTAGACATTTTATAAATTACAGTCTCTGACCATGATTTAATAAAACTAAAACTCAGCAACCAAAAGATTACCACCAAAGGAAAGTTAATCACTTGAAAATTGAAAAAACTTTAAAGAAACAGCCTCAAATGCATATGAAAGAACAAATCAAAACTAAAATTTAAAATTAACAAAAGTAAGATGCTTCAGGCCAAAACCCAGATACAGATAAGAGCTCAGAAGAAAATTTATATTCTTAAAAGCTTTTGACATTAAAAAAAAAATCTTAACTGCAGTTTCACAAAAGAAAAAAAAATTAGCCAAGAGAAAGTCAAACGGAGTTAATAAAAATGAAATTTAAATTCATTATATAGAAATCAATACCTTAAAAGAAAAAGAACAGAATGAATAATGAAAACGAAAAGTTGACTTGTTAAGCAAAATCAATACAACAGATTAGTTGGATTAAGACAAGCTAGATTAAGAAAAAAACCGGAAAAATAAAAATATAGCCCTGAGGTTGAGAAAGTAGATTTAACCACCCATTACTGGACATTAAAGGAATTTTCACAGAATCATTTCAGCTACTCCATGGCTTAGAAATACAGGAAAACTGTTGATTTTTTTCTGGGATAGAAAATTCCAAGAGTTTTCAGTAGAAATAAGTGTCCCAAGCAAATTAATGGCTACTGAATACAATGAAGAGTTAAAGAAACCACATTTAAAAAAAGAGGCAGGGCCAGATAATATAACTATTATCTATTTTACTTTATTTCTACCTTGTCTATTTTACTTTCTGAGGACAGCTAATCAACAATTAGCAAATTTTATTTAAATTATTTCAAATGACAAAGTAGGCTATAATCAGTTTGCTTTAAAAAGCTAACTCAGATGTGATAAAAATAACAAGCTAGAAAATAATTTTACATATGATATTGGTAAAAAACTTCTAATGAGATTTTTAGCAAGTTAAATCTGACAGCCTATCAAGAAAGTAAATGACGAAAATCACAAGAAGGCAAGATTTTGACTCTTGGCACTGACTTAAAATTGTGACGCTGTAATGGCTATGACGAGGTCAAAGAGTGAAATAAGTTCAATAAATATTAAAAGGAGAGACAGAATTACTGTTACTTACAGATACCGTTAGGTTACTAAAGCAATCCAAATTCCACCAAAGAAGAAAACTGAGAACTAATAAAAGAATTTAGTAAGGGGTCCAGACACAGTGTAATGTGTGATATACCATAGCTTTTTTCTTTTACAGCACCATAGATCTGGAAATGAGAAAAAAACCCAAAAGCCCCACTCACATTGCTATAAAACTAAAAAATATTTGAGAATAAATTTACCAAGAAAGGTATAGCATCAATATGAAAGTATGAATGTAACATTTTATTGAAGGGCATAAAAACAGTTCTGAATAAATAAAAAGATATACCATGTTTCCGGAAAGGAATAATTAAAACAACAAAAATGAAATTTTTCCAAATTAACACATAAATTGAATGCAGCTCCATTCTACATCACAGCGGCTTTTCTTTTTAATTATACAAAATGATTTTAAAATTCCCATGGAGGAATAAATGCACAAAAATTATCAAGATGATTTTGAGAAACAGGTAATTAATAATGAAGGAAAACTCATCCACCCAGATGTTGGGACTTGCTAGAATACTCCTGCAATCAAAATAACACAACCTGGCACAGGAATAAATATAGAGGGGAACTCAATGATAGTTACAGCGTTCTGGATCCATGATTCTTTTTCTTTTGCTAATCGTTCCTACCAGTTCTTATTTCAATGAAAACATTTTAACTCTCACCTTCGCTATGGGTGGTCAGGTCATAAGCCCAAATCCTGTTACACATGACAGTCACTCTCACGGCAGGCTCCCAGGCCGTGAGAATATTAAAGACTCTCCTTTGGGCTCACAGAGGGCCCCCTCATATATGTACCTGAAAATGGAAAATCCCGGCATACTGGTGTGAAAAACTTTGGTCCATCAGGATCTTCTGCAGACACTGAGGGTTCTGGGTCAAGGAGCCCAGCGCTGCCAGGAACCAGCAGTCCCCTAGGAGGAGACAAAGTTGTGAGACACCAACTGGATGTCCCTGAAAGGCCCACCCCACGATCTCACCTGTCCCAGCCACCAGTATCAGGACACTTCCTTCTGAATACAGGTCCCAAGCAAAACTTGGGATCAGAAGAGTTTCCAGTTTTGAATTTTTTTTAGATTTTAGAATATTTGCATATACATAATAAGTTACACTGGGGATGGGACCCAAGTCTAAACATCAAATTCACTTGTCTCATACATAGGCATCATGTGAAGGAAATTTTAAACAATATTTTCAGTGCACCTGCGTTTTGATTTTGACATGTCGTATGAGGTCAGGCGTGGGATTTTCTACCTGTGGTAGTGCTCAAAATGTTTCAGATTTTGGAGCATTTTGAATTTGGAATTTTTTGATTAAGGATGCTCAACCTATAAGGCAGTTTTGCTCTCTGAGAGAGGAGAACTAGGTAAAGGATTCTCTATGGCCAGTTCCTAGCAAGATGGAGTAAAGGTGGTGGTAGTGGTGGTACTGGGTGATTGTGTACTGAAGGTCAGGGGAACCCCAGCCAGGCTTTGGCAGAGCTGGGGGTCCAGTTTGCTCTCTGGTTCTCTTTTTGCCAGAAGTGTCCAGAGTGAAAGTCATAGTAAGTTTTACACAGGTGGCAGTGGTACTCTGTACACTTATAGAAAACATATTATAATTTTCTTTGTTCATCCCAGCCTATGCAGGGGCCTCTCTGGACCACACAGGGGTTTTCTCCTCTGTGAGATGTGCAGTCTTGAGTTTCTCCTTAGATATCACTGTGAGCCCTTTTGGATATGCTTTTCTCCTCCCCCAAGTCTGCCTTCTTCACCTTCAACATCATTCATTCTTAGAATGTAACTACACATCAGGCACTGTGGTTGGCATAGAAGTCACAAAGATACCTCCAGAGAGGTCATTTCTCCAACCAGGTGAAACCCTAACAGGTGGATTATAGCTAGTGGCCAAGTGGCGTCTGTTAAGTTGGTCCAAGATGGTGTGATTTCCCAGGTGAAGTCCAAGTTCAAGGGCTGAGAGGGAAGATGTTGAGTTTTACCTGCTCTTCCTTGTTGGATGTCAAATCTACTTGTACCTTCCAGGATAAAGTGAGGTGGACCATCTGATAAATCCTTAGGGAAGAAGGAGAAAACCTATGAGTATCGTTCACTCCTTCATGTCCCGGTATGGTACCTATAACATCATTCACTTGGTCTTTGAGGGATAGAGGTTAATTCTTAAATAGGTGGTTAAAGTTTTAATTAGAAAAGTTCCCTTCATTCTTCAGGTTTTACTGCTCTTGATAAAGCAAGTGTCAAAGGGGTGAATATGTAACTGACAAGACAGGCAATAAATGCATAAGCAAACCACACGAGGAAACAACATAAATAAGGACTCAGGGCCTTTTATCAAATAGTCATCCCTTCTGGTCCCAATAAGCCAAGTGTTTTATGAAGAGATTAGGAACAAACAAAAATGAACTGGATACATTTACTAGATGAGACTTTTCTAAACATAATAAAGTACTATGGTATTTCATAGGAAAGCTTTTCTTATGAAATGGCATCTCTAAGAAAACCACATGGGTATTCTGAGCTCCAGGTTTAAGTTCAGCCATGTGCCACATAGGACACAGCTGCCCGGCACTCAGATCTGTGTCCGCCCCATGGCTCACCCCAGACTGAGAGTGGAAGACTCCATCCTTCCCCAGTCTCCCTCTCATATGCACCTGTCCACTACACGGAGGGGGCCCCCAAGGATTGTACAGTGCGGGGGGGAGTTTCGGGAACTCTCAGCAGAGAAGACCCAGGTGACAGTCCCTGAGGTGGGGTCACTGGGCACTCTGGGGGCACACTGGGCTGACGGTCCAGCTCCTACCCAAGCCCCTGCTAGGGCCCCATAGGATCATCCTCAGCGACCTCTCCGTGCAGCTTCTCTAGATTTCCATTGTGTATGTTTGCATAATTTGGTGAATGTTCCTCTATCAATTTTTTCATATTGACAGATAAGTCCTCAGGCAGCAGGGCTGCACAGTGGGAATAGATTCATTTGCTCAACAGCTGTGAAGCACAGAGTTCTGCACCTGTGGCTCCTGCCAGACCCTCACAAACAAGGCGTGTCCACCTGCGAACACGTCATCCCGGTGTAGGGGTCATCCTCTCACTCACCCTCCTCTGGCTGTCTCAACAACTAAGTGACCCCAGAGGTACCAGGAGAGGCTCACATAGGCTCTCCTGGGAGAGGGAAAGCCAGGCCAGGCTGAACTTGAGAATCTCCCCCAGCCCAAGCAAGTAGGAAGAATGTCCCATGGGGCTTTGGCCGTATGTATGCTTGGTTTTAAAATAAGCTGGGGCTGCTTTAATTACAGCTAATTGTCCCCTCTCTTCTACTGGAAATAAGGAACCACAGGTCCCAAAGGTGGCCTGCTGGTAAGAGTGAGGTATTTATGATCTTTTAGGAATTAAGGAAGACAGTGGAGGTCCTGTGGTTTTTGCAGCAAGAACAAAGGCAATGATCCTTCTGACCCACCACCCAGCTCTTCTGCTGCTGTCCTGATAGGGTCCCTGCTGTGACCCACGCAGGACAACCTGTGGAGATCTGCTGTGGAGGCCTGCCCCACCCTTCTCCTCAGTGACCTGGAGACCTGGAGCAATTTCCTCTCCTTTGCTGAGGCTCAATTTCCTCAGGTCTAAAACGGGAACAAAAGGTAAGGAGAGCACCAGTTGCTGTATCCCAGGTTATTCCCTGTAGGCTCCCAACAGCCTTGCAAAACAAGACAAGCCCTTCCATTCTGCAAAGGAGAAAGGATATGAAATACTTAGCACAGCATCTGACTGGGTACAGGTTCGATAAATATTGATTCCTTCTTCCTGTAATCTGCAAAATTAAAAAGGCTATGCTCATGGATAGACCCAATAGCCTTAGATGCATTCATTATTAAACAAGACAGAATAAAAACACGAATTAAGCTGTCAATTCATGGATATTAAAAAGAACAAGACAAAAGAGCCTCACAAAAGTAAGAGGAAGAAAGTGATAAAGAGAACAATTTGTGTCAAACAAAGGAGAAAAACAGCAAGATTAATAAAGAAAATAATTGTTCTACTTGGGATGGGGGATTTACTTGAACCCAACCTTTGGCAAATATGGTAGAGAAGCTCCAATAAAATTAGAAATAAAAATGGGCTGTAGAGGTATAAAAAAAGATGTAAGATTCTATGCTGATTGATCTTGAAGTACTATTAATTTTCTGACGGAAAATAACATAGCTAAAAATGGCTCAAGTTAGTAAATAACCTGAAAGATTAATCACCTTGGGCTAGTATTTTTATATAATCAAAGAATATTGTCCTAATAATCTGTAAAGATTTCTAGGTACAGTACGTGCAGTTTTCTCACTGAGTTCTCACAAATTTCAGTGAATGGGCCATCTCTATGTTAGTTACACTTTCAATATTAAGAAAACAAGGTGAATCTTGCTGCTATTTAAGAAGCCAGCATAGCCTTGATGGCCAACATGCACACACACACACACATCCCAGACTCATTTTGATTGCTATCAAGTAGGATTGGCTGTAGGACTACAGAATGCAAAGATGGTTTCATGTCAGGACATCTAATAATATGAAATAGCACTTACATGGGCCAAAGGAGGAAAAATGCATATCCTTTCGATAAATATTGTGAAGGCATTTGATACACATCAACTTTCTATGATTTACTGAAATAACAGAAGTTATCATTAAAGAACCAAAAAGTTGATAATTAGGAAGAGAATGATTATTTTAATGTGATGAAAATTAAACGGCAACTATTTCAAGCCTGAAATCAGTTGTCAGTATGAAGTTTACAGGGACACACCAAAGTCTTTTGCAGAGAGGTGGGGGAGAGCTCCTATGCCTCCTGTTCTCTACATGCCGGTTCCTTCCCCACCCCGAGCTTCACTCAAACAGAGGGAAGGAAGGCATGGCTGGAAATGATGCCCAGATGCACTGCAGTCATTTCCTGGGGCATGAGCCCTAGAGCACTGTGGGTGACTGTGGCCGAGAGGTGGAAATGCTGTGCCCTAGGCATACCAGGGCAATGGTGAGGTCAGTCTGATAAGATCCTGGGGATTCAGGCTGAACTGCACCGGATGGTGACTCAGAGTCACCTGGCAGCTTCACAGACATGAAGGCTGCAGACCCCTGCTGTCCACAACTTTGATTTAGGAGGTCACTGGGTCAGAGGGAGAGTTCACGACTGATGCAGCTCCGCAGGGGATTCTGAGGCCCAGCTAGGGCAAGCCAGGGGGTTCAGAGATCTTGAACGCTGTGCTCCAGCTGGACAGGAATCAGCTGTCTGCCCCCCAGAGCCCTCCCTGCCTCTCTGGCACTCCAGCAGTGAGAGTCTTCTCAGCTATAATGTTCCCTGATGCTGTGATATGGACTGGGCCTCTGAGGGCTCCCAAACGCCCATTCCTAGAGAAGGAAGTGGTGATGAATAATTTGTCAATCTCACCAGCTCTGGGAGTTACCTGGTAAATACTATTTCTGGATGTGTCTGTGAGGGTGTTTGGAGATGAGATTAGCACTTGGATCGGTGGACTTGGGAAAGCAGATGCCTTTCTCTGTGTAGGTAGGCAGAGCCAATCCACGGAGGGCCGGAATAGCCAAAAGGAGGAGGAAGGGAGGATTTGCTCCTTCTCTGCCTGCCTGATTAAGCTGAGACGTCAGACTTCTTCCGTCCTTGGACTGGGGACTAGCCCGGTGGCTCCCCTGAGTCTCAGGCCCCTGACTTACACCACTGGTTTTCCCGGGTCTCCGGGTTGCAGCCTGGGTATGATGGGACTCAGCCCGCACAACTGTCTCATAATACCTCTCTCCTAATATGGGTATCAATACAGTATCTATACACACATAAAAGCAAATATACACTTGTGCAATACTTAAAACATACTTATAAAATATACATAACTCATACTTGTATAATACACAGTAAGTCCCCTTAAGAACATTCAAGTTTCCAACGGATCTCGAATTAGGAACACTCACAGATGTGAACAAATCACGGAAGGAGCTCATGTGTCTGCCGGACATTGTCACGATTTTGCTGTTGTGTGCTTACTGTACAGTGAGACAGTATACAGTATGTGTGTGTGTTTGGGTTTTTCATGCATTACATTGTATATTTATGTCAACTGTGTGTAAGACTCACTTTGTTGGACTCAGGAAGGAATCCGTTTTACAAATGTTCTCCCAGAATGGAACTCATTCTTAAATTGGGGACTTACTGTATATAAAATAAGCATATCAATATATAGATATAAAATCAATGGCCTATATAAGGTAGAATATACCATAGGACAAAGTATTAATGTACACACTGATAAGTTATTGATGACATATGCATATATATATATATGATATGATATATATTATTGGTTCTGTCTCTCTGAAGAAACTTGAATAATACAGAAGCTGGGAGCATTAGACAAACCAAGTAAGCTTAGCGACCTACTTCCAGATTGTGGGGCCCTTTCTTCAGGCAAAGTTTGGGGTGGTCTCTGTGATATTAGGTGTGTCAGAAGCTCATGGAATGCAAGAATCCCTGGGATCTTAGCAAATTGTGTCTCTGAGGTGGCACCACACCAGCCATTGTCCCTGAATCATCTCTGCAGGTGTTATTCCTGATGTGACAGCATTTGCATCTCCCAGCTTTCTTTGAAGGCTGCTCATCAGTGTCTCACACTATGTCCTGCTCTTGGATGAGAGAACACTAGGCCTAATTGACATCCTGCCATTCAGCCCTTTTGGACAATGGCCAGAGTTTAGGCTGAAACAGGTGGCAATATCATTCCCTTTTCTATTTTTCCTAGAGAGCTCTGATACTTTGGCATCACAGGTCTTTGGCTCAATGGCAACTGGCTGCTGGCATAGTCACTTCCGTTACCTTCTGTTATCTATTACCTGATGGGATATCTTCCCAAACTACTCTACACTCATACCTTGACTTTCTCACTTTTTCTTTTTCTGAAGAACCCATTTTGGTGCAAGGCAAATCATGTCAGTGAGTGACCCCATCAGAAGCTGCTTTTGCTACATTGATGATGATCATTGTCACCTGGCTAGTCAGTGCGTCCCTCTGGTAGGCC